TGTACAAATACAAAAACACAAATATTAAAATATATAAATATAAAAACACATAAATATAAATATATAGCGGCAGAGTTTTATTTTCTCTCTCTCTCTCTTCTTGTGTAGTTCCTGACTCTGTTCTCCTCATGTTTCTGTTTCACAGTTACGACCTTCTCTGGGATCAACTGGCAGCAAAAGTCCAGTGAGGTAAGAAGACCGCTCTCAGACGCGGACTCAGGTTAAACTCTAAACTCATGCTAACATTTGTTTGGTCTCTCTCAGGGATCAGGGCTCAGAGTCAGACGATGACGATGACTATGATGACGTAGATATGTAAGAAAACGCTTTTTCAAAAAATCCATATTTAAGGATAAATTATAAACAGTTTTTTAAACCTGTTTAAAAGTCAGATTAAAAAATAAAACTCATGGTTTTTATCATGAGCGTCTTTATACTCTTGCTGCTCCTCCTCTTCAGTCGTTATAATCGAACCTTTTTGATTCTTCCTCCTCAGCCCGACGTTACACTCCTCCAGGTCAGCCTCATGAGCACAGACTCTCATCTTCCTCATTATAAACGTTTAGTTGTAATATATTTGATTTTTAAAACCTCTGAATAAACTCTCTCTCTCTCTGATGACAGTCTCATCGTACCTGCCGATGCGACTCCGCCTCCACTTCCTCCAAAGGTGAAGACTCACAGAGTCACGTACATGGCGCCGGTTTTTAGGCGTTGACATCATGTTGTTGTTTTTCCGAACAACCGTGAGAACTGAGTTTGACGTGTAATCAAAATGAGGCAAACCGCTGCAGACATGAAACTTCTCAGAACCTCATCTTCATCTTTTCATGTCTGCAGCCCAAAACTCGGACCAGCTCAGAGGAGAGCGCGGCGGGGGAGGACGATCGGGGGAGGAAACCCTCCTCTCTGTACGCCCCGGCCTCCCCCCTCCTCAGGACATCCAGTGGGACACACGTCAGACCTACACCCAAACCTCGGTCCATCCGACACTCAGGTGAGCTCCACCTTCGTACTGTGACAGCAGAGTCCGGGACGGGCCGGGTCCACAGACTCACCTCTCTGATTCTCTCTTTATCAGTGAGGCTAAGCAGTGAAACAGGCGTCCTGTTAGAGCGGATCGTCCCCGTCAGAAAACTCTGAGAAAAACTAAAAAGACCTTTTTGGTTTTAAATGTCACTGAGATAAAAAGAAAAGTGATTCAGATCCTGATAAACGTGTCCCTCAGAGTAGACAAGATGTTCAGGACTGTGGAGGTCTTTATTTGACAAATATTGTTTGTTTTCATACGAGCATCAGATCCACTATTACCCCCGTTCTTCATCATTTATTACAGTATTCATTTGAAACATCACTCAACAGTACAATGTACAAGCAGCTGCTTCACAAAGATGACTACACAAAATTTTGTTCAACTTGGCACACAAGAATGTTCTCTGTTTATAAAGTCTGATGTGACAATGACACTCTGTACAACTGGGATGGTCAACAGGTGGTGCTGATGACAGTTCAATAATTGAGCTCCGGCATCTGTTCAGAAACACATTTGACGGAAGGTTGTTTTTTGTTTAGTAACACCTACGATTCTTGAGTCGGGATACCGGGGACTGACCCACATGTTCTGTAACAAATGCATAATGAAGGAGACAACAACAACAACAACTCAGCAAAATAATATGAAATTAGGTCCACAGGGTCCCAAAAAAGAAGGTGGAGTCCATCACTGGGATGGGAAGGTAGCCCCGGGATGATTTTGTTGTCCATGATGAGGTTCAAGTCAAAGTTTCTCCTTGTGTCACCCTCACCTCGATGTATTCAATCCTTCTCTCCTAAGCGGTCAGCTGGACTTTCTCAGGAGACTTTTCTTCAGAGAGACCAGGACTCAGATCAGACGTGTCCTCTCCTGTGTCTTTGTTGTCTCTGTGTGGTCCAGACCCCGCCTCCTTACCTGCCCAGCTGAATGACATCCCAGCAGACCTCACTCCTCCGGAGCTCCCTCCTAAAGGCATACGCAGACGGCAGGTCCCCTCAAAGGTAGATCAGACCTCAGAATCTGGTTCAGGTTTTCTCAAAAAAACCCTTCATGAAGTCCATCCTCAGGGATAACGTTGGAACATCTTCAGGAGCTCCAGGTCTTCTTTGGTTTCCTGGTTCTTCACAAACTGACCCAGTCTGTCTTTTTTCAGGATCCTGCAGAGTGTGTCAGCCCCACCATGAGGAAACCTCCGGTGAGTGTCCCTCTCTGAAGCTCCTGGTCCAGTCTGAGATCTTTCTGTTGGTAGATCAGGTGGACTGATACCCCCTCCCCCCCTCTCTCTGCAGGTCTACTTTAAAAAGATCTTCCATGGCTGTCCTCTGAAAATTCACTCCTCCACGGCGTGGGAGAACCCGACAACTAAAGGTTGGGTCTGGGTCTGGGTCTAGCCCGGTTCTCAGTGAATCCTCTTGTTTTCTCTGGGTCTGTGGTTCTGGTCTGACCTGCCTCTGTTTCCCTCAGACACACACTTGATCCTGGGAGCAGAGGAGGGGATCTACACCCTGAACCTCAACGGCTCTGAGGCCACCATGGAGCTGGTAGGACAATAGGGTGTAGTCTGTAAAGGGGCGGGGCTTCCATATGACTGACAGTCAAACCTGAACCCTCTCTCTGCTCTCTTTCAGCTGTACCCCGGGAAGTGTACCTGGGTCTACACCATCAGTAACGTCCTCATGTCTGTGTCGGGTAAATGAATGAATGACTGAACGATGAATGGGTTATCTCAGACCCTCAAGGAGGCGCTCATGTCCTCCATGATCCAGGCTGAAGCTCCAGTTGGATGATTTAGTGGTTCTCATGTTTCCTGTTTCTGTTCGTAATCATGGGTCTGAAGGTCTGAAGGTCCGATCTCTAAACACTGAGGTGTGACTCCAGATCAGACTTTAGGGAGAGGAGGCGTCTCCGTTTCTTCTCCATGTTGAGGTTCTTAGAAAGACCATGATTGTCCTTAATCGTAGAAGATGGCGAGTTTCCTGCTTCATTAACATATTTAAGGGGAGCGAACTATTAGGGGGACTTTTGTTGGCCACACTCTTCAGCTTCAGGTCCAGTTATCAGGTCCCTGACCATGGCAGCAGAAACCAGAAGGATCTGGACTCCCTGAACCATCTGCTGTTCAGTCACTGTGTGTGATATCTAATGAGTTTGTTTCTTCTCCTTATGGAGTTCGATTCTCATGTTAACATCAGAACCTGCAGCAGGAACCACATTAACGCTTCTTCAGGTCTATCAGCTGGTCTGTCAGTTCCGACAAAAGTTCCTGCTCACTCAGACCTTCAACCACAAAGAGGACCAGGTTTCAGATCCTGAGAGTCCGGTTCTGCTGTGGTTGGTCTGTCCTACCAGGACTCGACAGTGCAACTGTTTCTCTTGTGTTTGGGACTAAAAATAGTTGTGTGAATTGTAAAATGTATTTAGGGTCACGTGTGCAAATAAAAAAATCAACAAATGTTTTTTCCTGTAAATACGGCGGTGAAGTTAGTTTTAGGTTGGATATATTTTCCTGTAAATACGGCGGTGAAGTTAGTTTTAGGTTGGATATATTTTCCTGTAAATACGGCGGTGAAGTTAGTTTCAGGTTGGATATATTTTCCTGTAAATACGGCGGTGAAGTTAGTTTTAGGTTGGATATATTCTCCTGTAAATACGGCGGTGAAGTTAGTTTCAGGTTGGATATATTTTCCTGTAAATACGGCGGTGAAGTTAGTTTCAGGTTGGATATATTTTCCTGTAAATACGGTGGTGAAGTTAGTTTCAGGTTGGATATATTTTCCTGTAAATACGGCGGTGAAGTTAGTTTCAGGTTGGATATCTGACGGACATTCTCTGAGGATCTACCGGTGTCTTCTCACTCTCCATAACCGGGAATAACAACAGCAGCGCGGTTAAATCTACTCGACACCCTCACTGTCAACGTCGGTGTTGAATAAGGGACCGTCAATAAATTACCGGTTGATGTTCTCAGAAAAGGCTGTTTTCCTTCAATAGCTTCACTGTCATGTGACCAAAAGACCTAAAATTGATTTCTAATAATAGTGCTAAGGTTGATCAATAAGACAAACATTATTGATCAGTTTTCATTGATCCCTAAAGTTCTTTGTGTGCTCCTCATGAACAAAGTTCGAGTCGAACCCTGACCAATAACACCTTTGCTCTTTGCAGGTAAATCCTCTCAGCTTCACTCCCATTCACTCAAAGAGTTGTACGAACAGGCTCGGAAAGACCAGAGGATGGTTGCCTTGCCGACTCACAGACTGTTACCACGGTAACACTGGGACTTTCTCTGTTCGACACTTCTGATGCTCTCTCTGTTGAGTCTGAATATTAACCCTTTACACTCTCCTCTGCAGGAAGTTCGCCGTGACGTCAAAAGTACCAGATACCAAAGGCTGCAAGACCTGCTCCGTGGGTGAGGACCGGAGAACAGTGTGTGTGTGTGTGTGTGTTCCCCCGCTCTGCTGCCTCTCTTTGGATGGATATCCGCTCTGATAGGAACCAAACCCAGTCCCGGGTTTGGACTGGTCCTGGTCCAGTTGACCCTTTAACAGGAACCTGTGTGTGTTTTGTGTGTCTCCTGCAGCTGCTAACATACAGCGAGGTTGTGTGTTCCTGTGCTGTGCTCTGGAGTCCAGTGTGGTTCTGCTGCAGTGGTACGAGCCCATGCACAAGTTCATGCTCATCAAGGTGAGTGCAGACAGTTGACCTTTGACCTGCTTCAGTCCACAGCAGACTCTTCATCAGTCTGCTGTTTGACTCCACCACCTGTTTGTGTCTCATGTTAAAGTCCATGTCCACCTTCTGTTGGACTTGGACTCGGTCCCACACAGAACCAAGTCAGTCTGTAAGAATCTAACCAAACGGTTCAGGGCCTGGAGTAGACCACTGTGCCCCCTCAGACCGGTACAGAAGGACACATTTCACCAGGACTCTAACGTCTGAAAGTCCGGCTCATCTTTCCACGAGTGGAGCTCGTCTTTAAGTAAAACAACCATGGTGGAGTAGTCCCCATCAGGTGACCCCTGAGACCTCATCAGCTGATCACAGACGAACACGCTCAGCCTTTAAACCTCACTCTTGTGGTTTTCATGATCCAGAACCAGCTGCAGGTCCTGGCCTGTAAACACAGCAGCAGCAGCAGCCGTCTGCAGTCAGAGAGTGATCTAGTGTGTTCTGGGGCCTCATTTATAAAACCTGGCGTAGGATCCATACTAAAAGTGTACGTAAGTTGAAAAGCTGAAAAGTGCGTAGGCAAAAAAAAAATCTGATTTATAAAACCCTGCCTACGCACACCTGCACGCACTTTCCCTTTATAAATCACAGACCAGCTGGAAAGTTGCTCAGCAGGGATTTGATTCTTCCCCGCCCTCTCCACACCCAAAATTCACCATGTATGGTCATGCAAATTACCTCATGAATGTGATTTGCATGTAGATAAGCCTGGTGGATCCACGGCATTTCACGCTTAACCATGGCATCAGCAAGTCGTAGAAAAAGAAACTTTTCAGAGATCGAGGTGGAGGTTCTTGTAAATGAGGTGGCGGCGAGACGGGAGACCTTATTCGGCGGCCATTCGAGTGGCATCACCGATAAAAACGCCGTTGCCGTGGTGGCAATTGCGGCTGGCACTGAGCACACCGTTGCCGAAACAGTGTTGTTTTGGTCATATTTCGTCAAATATTTTCGTCAACACCAGCGTCAAAAGGAAATATTTTCATCAACGAGAACAACACTGGTTGTTTTTGTTGACGAAAATATTTCCCTTTTCTTCCACGACGAAGACGTAACGTTGACGAGCTAAACATAAGTCGGAGATGACTAAAATGTGACGAGACGAAAGTGCGTTTACGTTGATGGGACGAGACGAAAATGACGAACAGAGTTTCAAAACTCAGTCAGTTAAACGCTAAACATACAGGAGCAGCTTCAGTCCGCTCTGACAGCTGTCATCAGCCTGCTGTGCTCCTCCAACACACAGACACACACGCACGCGCGCGCAAACCCGTGGAGTTTTGTTTTCGTCGACGATGACGAAAACAAAACTGTGCCGAAATCAAGAAGAAGTGCTCTGATCTAAAGGTGGAGGCAAAGAAAAAAGAGGCTTTGCACCATCAGAGCGTGGCGGCGACAGGTGAGAATAAAAAAAAAACATGCACGTGTGACACTCGTGCATGTGTTCAAAAAAAAAAAAAAAACGCTCCGTTATCCACCGCTGCTTATGTGGTTAAAGTTCGCAAACCAAAAAGATTTAGTCATATTAATCTTAAAACAAATGCATGTAAATGGAATTAGTTTTTTTTGCACATTTGTAAATTCAAATTGGCAAACTATCTACACCGCCACAGTGGGGTCTGTGCTTTCTGCGAGCATCACTGCCTGGTACGGCAGCTGCAGCTCTCAGGACAGAAAGGCTGCATCGAGTCATCCGTTGTGCTGAACGCATCACCCGGACTATTCTCACCTTGCTCCGATTGTCTCCAAAAAGTGCGTAAGCAAGGTGTGGAGTTTGCTTAAAGTTGCGCACATTCCTACACTAGTTTTTCTTTTATAAATCCCAACTCTTGCATAAGAAGTGGCGTACGCAATTTCTAGCCAGGTTTTGTGCGTAAGCAAGCTTTATAAATGAGGCCCCTGGTGTAGATGTCTCTGTGTGTCTCTGCGTTTTCTCCTGACAGCAGCCAATAAACGAGGACAGGCAGAGAAGTCAAACCTTTTCTGATCCCTCTTAGGTTTGTGGGTCAGTTTCAGACCTTGGACCATAAAGCGGTTCTGGTTTTCAGGGTAGACTCGTTGGTTTCTGTGGCAGAAGGTCTGAGTCCCGTCTCTCCTCTCACGCCGCAGCACTTTGACTTCCCGCTGCCGAGTCCTGTGAGGCTGTTTGAGACGGTGGTGGTGCCCCAGCAGGAGTACCCGCTGGTGTGCATCGGGGTCTCCAGAGGGTCCAGTCCCAACCTGCCAGTCATTGTGGAATACATCAACCTGAACTCCAACACTTCCTGGTTCACCAACTCTGGTCTGGGTAGGTTTTTACTGCTGAACCTGAACCTCATGATCCCTGCTGGTCTTCATGGAGTGATGAGTCTGTGTTTGTGTCCCCGCAGAGAAACCCTGTCCTGATGTGGTCCAAGTGAACCAGCTGGACAGTAACACGCTGCTGGTTCTACTGGAGAGTAAGACCGCCTCATTAGTATTAAGGCCCGCCCACCTTCATTAAAACTGTCTCTGTGTCCCCGACCATTAAAGGGATATTCCAGCGTAAAATTAAGTTAGGGTCAAACACACCGTAACACCGAGCCCAATTTTACACCAGAATGTCCCTTTAAAGACACGTTCCCTCAGAAACAGCTGAGAGTTGGACCTTCAGTGATGATGAAGTAGAGGACCACGAGGAGGTCTCTGAAGTCTGGAGTATTTCAGGAGACATGTGGAGAGGGTTCCTGTTGTTTAGATCTGATCTCCTGATTCTCTGTATCTCCACACTGATGCATCTGCCATCATCCACAGAGTCAGTTCATATAGTCGGCCTGGAGGGGGAGCCGAAGAGCCACAAACCGCAGCAGCAGCAGCAGCAGCAGCATGAGACCTTCTCTTATGATATACAGTCTATAGGTGAGAACATCTGAAGACAGACCAGCTCCTGTCTGAGGAGATGATGGCTCAGCGATAACCTGCTGTGTGTGTGTGTGTGTGTGTGTGTGTGTGTGTGTGTTAGTGTATTTTGAGGAGACGCTGTTAGCGGTGTGGCGTCACGGCTGGCAGAGAAGAGGACAACATTTCAGTGAAGTTCTGGAGGAAACCACTGACCCCAGGAAGATCTACAGACTGGTCCAGTCAGACAGGTACCGCATGTGTGACCCCTGACTCATGTAGCTGGAGAATACTGACTGAGAAATAACAGGGGGGTTGTAGTCCAGTGGGACGGGGCCTGAGCTCGTCTGGAGCTACCTGTGTTAACAATAAATATAAAACAAATCTGGCGCTGCCTCCAATAAAATCGAAGAAGTAAACACAAAAGTTGGTACTACCCCTTTAAAATAAAAGTCACTTAAACCCGTTTGTATTGATCCAAAAAGTGTCACTTTTGTAACTACAACACGGGATTTAGTTCAACCAAAAAACATCTTTATTACAAGGTTATGAATTAGAGTTTCTGCTTAATTAACTTGTTCACTGTCGACCTTTAAGTTCGCGCTGATAACAGGATTCAAACTCTCCGGTAAATTTGACTCACACATGAACCCTGATGGACCTGAACAGGACGGGTCAAATAAATCAAAATGACCGGGGAAACACACAGATGACCGCTCACTAACTTTAACCAACAAAAACAAAAATCAAAGTGTCGATTTTACTCACGAATCCACAGTCAGAGATGAAGATGGTGGGAAAAGGGCCAAATGGTAACGTGTAGTTTTGGCCACAAGGGGGCAGAGTCAGCAAAAACAGGTGGCGGGAAACCACAAGCTCAGGTCCAGCATCTCTGGTCCTGGTCCAGGTCCAGGACTCTCCCGGTCTGGTCCTGAATCACAGAATTACTCTGAGTAAATAAACTACAGCTTTATTCATGACACAAAAACACAGAATGTCTTAAACAAATTAGCAAATTGCTAACGGAAATGCAGAATAAACAGTACTGGCCTATGAGAAGGCTAAGCTAAAGGCTAGCAGCGATTAGCGATTCAGTTAGCTTTTTACACATTAGAAATAAACTACAGCACCGAGAACATCCAAACTCATGAACTTACCTCTGACAGCTTCTCAGAGTTCACAAACATCAGCCACAGGACGGACTCCCCGTCAGTTTTAGAGGTTAGGAGGGTTTTAATCATGTTACTCTAACAGCTAACGGCTAACAGCTAACGGCTAACCCGCTCATACAGCTACCTCTGCTAGAGTGCTGCGGCCTGTCAATCATGCTAAGCTCCTCCTACCTGAACAAGCTAAGGACATGATTGGCTGAGGATACAGACATGCAAAGATGAGAGAATAAAAAGATGCTTCACTCCCCCCAAAAAAACTGGTCTCCTGTTAAATATGAATGGATTTTTAAACAAACACCATCCTTTTAGCTCTGACTTTTTACTTGATATAAAATGATTGTTTTTTTTTTTTAACATTTTAAAATCCAACTATTATTTATTACCAACATCAACATTTTAATATCTGTATATGAATGAATGAAGTTTCAAAGTGTCGAGTCTGAAGAGAATTCATTCCTATATTAAGATCTAGTTCAAAGACGTCTATGTCTGTAGATGTTTATAACTGATAACATAGATTCAAAGACATGTGAAATTTTGACCTGATTGTGGCTCTGGGTGAAAATTCATGAAATCTGTTCAGAGAGGGAAGAGTGACGATGATCCAGAGTTAAACAAAAGGAAACTACAAGATCTAAAAACACACAAAAAAGGATTTATTCAAAATAACAAAATACAACTTAAAAAAAACTTTATTCAAGGTTGATAACCAGCGTCGTAAGACCGTTTAGCGAGACCGCTGGCTACTGCGCTAAGTTAAGCGAGGTAGCTCCAAGGCGACCTCGCTGGGTCTAACCTGCTTCGTAGAACAGACCCCTGGTAACAGGGAGTTTAGATTCTCCAGATTTCCTGAAATCTCACATCTCTGGTTTCTCGTTCACCTGGTTCCCTGATCTTTTTTTTAGGGTCTGGGTTTTTGTTATACGATTAAAAAAATAGTTGAGGACTTTTTTCATAGATCTTCTAGATTCCCTGATCTTCTTCAGGTTTAGGGGTTTTTATTATTCTATAAAAAAGTAGTTCAGGACTTTTTTTCAGAAATCAAAAGATCACACCTCTGTCCTCTGAAACCTCAGGTCATGGTCTGGGCTCAGCTCCAACATTTGGTTCCCTGTAATCGGACCTTCTCTTTGGTTCTGCAGCTTTTACCCTCTTAGAATCCAAGGTTCTTCCTCTGACCCCCCTGACTCTCTCACCACAGGATGGTCATCTTGGAGACACACCAGATCGAGGACCAGACCGGACTGTCCAACCTGTATGTTCTGGAAATAGCTGAGAACTACGTCATGCTGCCCTGACTCTGCGGTCTGCAGACAGAGGGCATCATGGGAAACTCCTCTCCATCTGAATGCCTCCACCCAGGACATTCATCCGTCATCATGGCAGACATGGAGAGCTTCATTTTGAATGTCATGGTGGGGGAGGAGACCCTGACTCTGGTGACGTTTTCTCTTATTTATGTGAGATCGGAGAGAGTCCCCCAAACACAGACGTCTGAGAAAAACCCTAAATGAAGAATGAAGGACTGATTCAGAGGTGGACCACCTTCTTCTGCCACAGTATTGTTGATCACAGCAGGTGACGACCGTATATACAGCACGCCACCTTCACCAGCGAGGACTCATGATCTAAAGCTCTGCTGTTTTCAAGCTGTTTGCTGCCTGAGTTTCATGTCACTGTTGATTTACCTGACGGCCGTCACACATTAAAATAAAGTGAACTAACGCAAGATGAAGTGAGCTGTGTTCATGTCGGGCAGAAAACCACAAACTAGGGGGCAGTAATGAGTCATGAGCGAGAGGGCGGAGCTGTGTGTTTACGATGAGAGTGAGTACCTGTTCAGGTGAGACAGGTGTGTGTTCAGGTAGACTCTCGTCTTCAACGAGGAGAAAAAAAAGGTTTTTATACTGAATGACTGTCGGTCTGAAAAAGAGTAAAAAAGACGGGAAAACGTCGCTGATGTTAAACGTTTGTATTGACAGGAAACGGGTTTAAAAAAAAAATACTGATGTCCGAAATAATCGCACAAAAAAACAGTGAAAGGAGCTTTAGTGTTTCTGTTAGTGTTAGTGTTAATGTTGGGTTTAATGTTAGTGTTAGTGTTAGTGTAGGTTTCTGTACATTTTTCTGCAGATAAAACAAGTTAAAACAGACCCCCCCCCCCCCCATGTTTGACCATTATAATAAGGTTTTAATAATAATAATTAATAAACATTTTGTCGTTAGGTTCCAGTCAAACTCTGCGTCCCCCCCACACCGGGTCTCTCTCTCTCGTTCTCCTAAACTGGTCCTGCTGGGTGTCACTGGGAGGAGACTACATAAATGGATAAACGGAGCGTCCTGTCCGGGGGCCGGGCGCCCTCTCTTTCCCCCCCCCGTCACTTCAGTGGGCATGCGCAGTGTCGGTCCGGGCCAGCAGCAGCAGCAGCAGCAGCGACGCATCCCCGCCGCACGTCCTTACGCACAGACGGACGGAGGCAGCAGAGCCCCGGTCGGTGGGTCGGTGGGTCGGTCGAGGATGATGAAGCTCACACCGGTTCCGGAGGGCTCTCTCTCGGGGTTTCTTCATCAGGTTCCGATGGTTCGGTCGCCGGTGCTGATGTAAAATGCACTGGAGCGGACCGGGGGTGCTGGTCGGCCTAGCTGAGCTCGGTTCGTCCCCGTCTCTCTTCTAGGACTTTGGATCTTCGTGGTTTTCGTTTCCAGGTCAGAATCTCGGTTTCCTGTTCGGCTGGTTCGGACTGAAAATGGCCGGAGATGGCGGCGCTCTGAAGGATATCAATGAGATTAAATCCCAGTTCCGGACCAGGGAGGGGTTCTACAAGCTGCTCACCCTCTCGGACTCTCAGCAGCGGGGGGGAGGCCTGCCGCGGGGTCCGTCCTCCGGAGCCACGCTGGGCCCGGGGGCCGGACCCGGGCCGATACCGGGCGGTGGAGGGGTCGGGCTGCTGCAGGGGCCCGGGGCCGCCTCCTCGTCCTCCTCCTCCTCCTCCAACGCCGCAGCCCAGTCCTCCTCCTCCTCCTCCTCTCCTGCGGGCTTCCTGCCCCCGGTCCGGGTCTCCATGGTCAAACTGCAGCCCGAGGATCCGGGTGAGGACTCGGAGCGGGTCTGCTTCAACATCGGGAGGGAGCTCTACTTCTACACCTACACCAACATCAAGAAGGTGGGTCAGCCCGGCTCGGGTTCTGCTGCAGGTCCGGGCTCTGTGGGCCGGACCAGAGACCCTCCATCAGAGGGGAGGGGAGGGGGGTCAGAGTTAGCTTAGCATGTAGCCGCTAACGTTAATGTCAGAGTGTTAGCTTCATGTCTCTGAGCAGACCCCCCCACACCTACAATAGGGGAGAGCGGGTTAAGATGATCCGTGTTTCCGGATCAGTCCATCAGGTCAGTCCTAGTTTAGTCTCGTGTCTCTGCAGATATTTCAGGAAGTTCTTCTTCATCAGAATGAGAGTAAACAGAACTGTCATCTTCAGAGGAGAGCAGGACAACAACAGGGTCTCCTATGGTCAACTTACCCCGGGTATGGGGGGGAAGTTGACCATAGGAGCGGGGTAAGTTGAGCCGTATCCCTCACCTTCTCTCCCCCTAAATAACAGTTACTTCTTCACATTCATGTGTTTTTTTATCTATTATAGATCGATAGACTTTATTGATCCCAAACTGGGAAATTCTCTCGTTTCAGCAGCAAAAAATACAAAATAAAATTAAGTTTAAGACGAAGTTAGTACAGTGCAGACTAAAAATATTAAAAATACACAATAAATACAGACTAAATATACTTCACTAAACATCCTCAGAGAAAAAGTAATAAATATGAAATGTGAAATATACAGACGGGATGATAAATGAACAGACAATTTAAGGTGCCAGTTATTATACTCTATTTAACTGGAACAACTGTTCTGTTTATTATTATTATTATATATAACTGATAAAAAAACAACATTAGAACATGAGAATGTCTTTAAATGATTGAGAACCTTCACTGACTCCATGAACTGATGACCATCTCCGTAAGATTTGGTCACATGGGTTTGGGTTCATCTTACCCCGGTCTCCCCTATGCTCCAGCTTATAAGTGATAATGAATCTAGGAGGTGATGGAGCATCATGATGGATGATGGAGCAGAAGGATGCTCAGAGTCCGAGGAGGTTTCAGGGGGGACCAGCCTGCTCCTCATTGATTCTCAACAATAATAATAATGATGATAATAATAATAATAATAATAATATGAATGATTATAGTGTATGAGCCGTTTTATCTCTATTATTTTGGGTTTTGTTTTGTTACTCGTACAATCACCACAAAGGGCGCCTCAGGTGAAGCAGTGGTCTGAGCTCACGGTTTTTACTGCTAATCTCCGACACCGCTCTCCCCCTCATCACCAACATCACCTGTCTGTCCTTTTTTATTTTTCATTTAATCAATAAATGGCAAAAATATAACTGAACAACAACCTTGGATTGGACTAGAAGTGCGTCAAAAACATGTCACTCCCAGACAGTGACTAAAATTCAGGTCAGCATCGTCACTACAAATAATAATAATAATAATAATAATAATAATAATATTAATGATAATAATGCTAATAATAATTATAATAATAATAATAATGATAACAATAATAATAATAATAATAATAATAATAATAATAATAATAATAAAAATATTAATGATAATAATAATAATAATAATAGTAATAACAACAATAATAGAAGTAGGCAGACATCATTAGACGGTTGTGTGATCAGTGCCTGTCAGCTGTTTGATCTTCCTCTGAGGTCTAAACTGGATCAGATTTTTTTCTGCTGAGGAGACCTGAACCTCTCACAGCTTCTTTAACACGGCGCCACCTGCTGGCCTCCTAATGAAGAATACTAATCACCTATTAAGAAAGAATAGGAGGACACAGAGGAGCTGCTCCTCCTTGTCTCCTGACATTTTTTATAAGTACAGTCCGTGTCCCACTGAAGAAACGTCTTTATTCATCAAACTTTATCTGTTTCATCAGGACTAAACTGTGTCAGCAGGATCATTTCTTCATGGAAATACAATCAGACCGAGACGCTAAGACAGAAGAACTACAGCGTCTGTAAAATGATTAATATGGTGATTATTACTTCAAGGAAATGATGAAGAAATGATCATAAATGTTCCTCCTTGAGCTGCGGCACCCCGCTGTAGTCTGTAATGGACAGTAGGTGAGTTATGTTTAGATGAAGATGATGAAGTTAGGTGCTGTTCTGAGCATTATTTGTGGCTATAGAGTGGCGTTTTGGTTGGGGGCGTGGCTCTCTGTATTTCTATCCTGCGGTCGTTACTAAAGTTGGTATAACTAGAGAAGGAAGCGGTCGACAACATTCATCTCTGGAGGGGGCGGGGTCTAACTCGGGGTTACGGTGGGTTTGACCCTGAATTAATTTTACGCTGAATTATCCCTTTAAGGGACCAGGAAAGCCTCTGAACCTCCATCCATCTCTGATCTCTCTGTCTGCAGGCGGTGGACCTCAGCAAGCCCATAGACAAGAGGATCTACAAGGGGACTCAGCCCACGTGTCACGACTTTAACCAGTACTCGGCCACAGCGGAGAGCGTCGCTCTCATCGTGGGTTTTTCAGCGGGTCAGGTCCAGTACCTGGACCCCATCAAGAAGGAAACCAGTAAACTCTTCAATGAGGAGGTATCTGACCCGTTTCCTTAACGTCTGCTCCACTGCATGAGGAGCCATCCATCACTCTGCCATCGATTTCTTTGGCCTGCTTGGGCCTCGAACCTGCGTCACCAACCCGGTCCTCCTCTAAGGAGAACCAATCAGAATCAGGAGATTCCTGATGTGTGTGTGTGTGTGTGTGTGTGTGTGTGTGTGTCATGTCCTCCCTCCTTGTTTTCTTGTTTTTGTCTCCTTCCTCCTTGTTGTTGTCTCCTTCCTCCTTGTTTTGTCTCCTTCCTCCTTGTTTTTGTCTCTTGCCTCCTTGTTGTTGTCTCCTTCCTCCTTGTTTTCGTCTCCTCCCCTCCTTGTTTATGTCTCCTTCCTCCTTGTTTATGTCTCCTTCCTCCTTGTTTCGTCTCCTTCCTTCTTGTTTTCATCTCCTTCCTCTTGTTTTCATCTTCTGCCTCCTTGTTGTTGTCTCCTCCCCTCCTTGTTTATGTCTCCTTCCTCCTTGTTTCGTCTCCTTCCTTCTTGTTTCGTCTCCTTCCTTCTTGTTTCGTCTCCTTCCTTCTTGTTTTCATCTCCTTCCTCCTTGTTTTCATCTTCTGCCTCCTTGTTGTTGTCTCCTTCCCCCTTGTTTCCTCTCTGTTTGTCCCGGCCCGTCCCTCTTTGGACCACTTCAGAACCTCATGTGTCCTCTCTGCATGCTCACTTTAATTGGTTCTTTTGGACCGGGTCACTGGGTCGTGTCCAAATCGAATCGGAACCAAGTCTTGAAGAATTGTCTCATATTTTGACCGTCACTATTTTTGCTTCCTTCTATCCACCCTTGTTCCCTTTCCTCAAACCCTCCCCTCCTTCTTTGCTTCCTGCTTCACTTCCTCTCTCCTTCCACTTCCTGTTTCACAGAGGTTGATAGACAAGTCAAAGGTCACGTGTCTAAAATGGCTTCCCAAGTCGGAGAACCTGTTCCTGGCCTCCCACGCCAGCGGCCACCTCTACCTCTACAACGTGGACCACCCGTGCGGCACCACGGCGCCGCAGTACTCTTTGCTGCGGCAAGGTGAAGGCTTCGCCGTCTACGCCTGTAAAACAAAGACGCCACGCAATCCTTTGTTACGATGGGCCGTGGGCGAGGGCGGCCTAAACGAGTTCGCTTTTTCGCCAGACGGTGTGCATGTGGCGTGCGTCGGCCAGGACGGCTGCCTGCGTGTCTTCCACTTTGACTCGATGGAGCTGCAGGGCGTGATGAAGAGCTACTTCGGCGGCCTTCTTTGTGTGTCGTGGAGTCCTGATGGGAAATACCTCGCCACAGGCGGGGAAGATGACTTAGTTACCGTCTGGTCGTTCGCAGAGAGCCGAGTGGTTGCGAGAGGTCACGGACACAAGTCCTGGGTCAATGTGGTGGCGTTTGACCCCTTCACGACGTCCCTGGAGGATGAGGAGCCCATGGAGCTCAGCGGCAGCGAGGAAGACCTCCACCAGGGGGCACCAAACAACTCCATGCACTTTGGCCGGGTCAGAACGAGCAGCACGTTGTCGCGTCTTTCTCGGCACAGCTCTAAAGGCGGCGGCTCGGCGTCGGTCACGTACCGGTTCGGCTCGGTGGGTCAGGACACGCAGTTCTGTCTGTGGGATTTGACTGACGATGTGTTGTACCCCCGCCTCCCGCTGACCCGGGCCTTTACTAACACTTTTGGGCCCTCGCTGTCCAACTCTGGCAGCGTGACGGTCAACAGCACCTCAGGCGGGGGCGGTAACGGGGGCGTTGAGGGGCACCATCACCCACCGAACACGAACACCGGCACTTCCAACCCGCCAACGCTCCCCCTGCCTCTCCCTCGCTCTCTTTCCCGCTCCAACTCTCTGCCCCACCCTGCCGTGGCGAACGCCTCGAAGAGCCAGGGCACGACGGAGGGCGGCGGGGGAGGAGGGGGAGGGGGAGGGAGCAGCAGCGGAGGGAACAGCACTCCGTTTAGCATCGGCCGCTTCGCCACGCTGTCTCTCCAAGAGCGCAAGTCGGACAAGTCCGGCTGCGGCAGCGGCGTGGAGAAGGAGCACAAGCGGTACCACAGCTTGGGCAACATCAGCAAAAGCAACGACAAGATCAACGTGGCGCCCAGGAGCAACCGGCTGGACGCCGCCAAGGTCCTGGGGACCACGCTGTGCCCACGCATGCACGAGGTGCCGCTGCTGGAGCCGCTGGTGTGCAAGAAGATCGCACATGAGCGTCTGACCGTCCTGGTCTTCATGGATGACTGCATCATCACCGCCTGCCAAGAGGGTCTGATCTGCACCTGGGCGCGACCCGGGAAGGCGGTACGTCTACAGACTCTCTATTGTTACTAAAGCTAATGATTTAGACACCAACGAAGAAGAAGTCAGGCAGGTTCAGGAAGTTCTCAGCTGGAAGTTAGAGCTTCAGTCAGGAACTTTAGGTTTACACCAGGGCTGCACGATATATCGTTTGAGCGTCGTCATGGCGATGTACATGTGCGAGATAGTCACATGTCAGAGCCTGCGATGTCGGAGGCGAATAAACTCGTCTAATTTTAAGAGGCGCTGACTGACATACACTTCCTGTGACTCTGCATGGTCAGTGCATCGATCCACCAATCACATTCGGTCTTTACTCAGTTACCAATCAGACTACCCTGCCAGCTGTCAATCAAAATCAGAGAGGAGGAAACCACGCCCCTGCACATGGAGGGAGTCGCTGGCGCTGCCGGTGTTGTTCCGAGAAATGCAGAGAATGACTTTGTGAACCTTCCTCATCGCTGTTTATCCCACAAAGAAGAACTGTGTGGGTTTAAGTCGTACATTTCCGTGGACCACTCGACTATAAGAGGCGTTTCTGTGAGGTGGATGAAGTCCTCGGCGGACATGCGTTTCTCGGTTCAACACCGGTAACAACAACAACAACGATTGTAAAATGAGAAACGAACAGAGAAAACCACGGAAGATGAAAACGTGTTTCAGTTCTAAGAAGGATGATGTCGACTAAAACACGTGTTCTGTGTTCATCTGTTTCCACGGTAACGTCCAGAACAATAAAAACTAAGACAGACAGAAGACAGTCTACTAACATTGACTAAAGAGGGAAGATCAGAGCAGGTTAACTGTCCTCAAGACTTCAGCAGAAACTCAGATTCAGACCGTCTGAGGAGGAAAATTCATCGATCTTTAACGTCCTGATAAAAATCAGAGCAGGGTCAGAAAACAGTGTTCGTTTTTTCCGATATCTCGCCGCCTTAGTTTACACAGATGGAGATGTTTCATGTGTGCTCCTCAGCTTTGACCCTGATCTCTGTGGACCAGGTTTCCTCTGGTGTCTAACTCTCCGTTTTGTCTCTCTCTCTCCTCCGTTCAGACCCTGACAGCACAGAACGGGAACTCTCCGAGCGGCACGGTGGTATAGCTGGAGGAGAAGCTTCGCACTCATCCCTCTCTCCATCATCTCCTCACAGTCCAACAGTCTCTCCAGAGATCCTCCAAACTAGGGGCCAAAAACCAGACCGTATGCTACCTACCATTGCAGTATTGTACCCTGACCCTCAGTAAGACCTGGACCCTGAGTCCCACTGACTTTACTCTCATGGTGGCTGGTTTGTTGGAAAACTCAAAGATCTTCTCCACACACCAAACCATCAGGTTTCATCTGACAAGAGGAGCAGATCCTGGTGGTCCTCAAGAGCCTGAAGGTGGTTCACAGTCTGAAAACAAAAACTGAGGTTTGGTCTAAAGCTGCAGAGTCACCCAGAATATCACCATGATATGAAGGTCTGCACGCTCCAGACCTGATCCTGGACCTTCTCACAGCAGGACAGTGAGACCCCTGATTCAGGGTTCGGGTTTTCCACCACCCGCCACCATCAAGAATAAAGCCCCCCCCCCCGTGCTTGGGCCCTTCACCTTCTCCACGTCTCTGCAGGACCACAGCAGAGGTCATCCGTGAAGCTATGAGGAGCCAACAGCGGGCTCCGCCTTCTTTCCTCCTTCAGCCAATCCCGTTCCCCTTCATGCAAAGACACTGCAAAAGCCACGGCCGTTGTATTTAAGTTATTTATTTTATCACAAGATGATGTAGTGATTTATAATGTAAATACTGAAAATACTCTATAAATACAGACTGAGCTGACAGCAGAGAGGAGGAGGAGGAGGAGGAGGAGAGGAGGAGAGGATGAGAGGAGGAGAGGAGGAGGAGAGGAGGCCTGAAGAAGAAGAAGAAGAAGATTAATATATGAAGATCCTTCTATTGTAAATAATAACCACAGTAAAAAAAACATGAATGTCTGCAGTTTTAGGGAACTTGAAGATGTCAATGTGTTTTTATCTGGTGTGATCGAGTTTCTCCAGAGTGACCCTGAAGGTGAGAGGAGAGGAGGAGAGAAGAGAGAGGAGAGGAGGAGAGGAGAGGAGAGGAGAGGAGAGGAGAGGGGGACAGAGAGCAATATGAGGAGGAGGAGGAGGAGGAGGAGGAGCTGACTGAGCTCCTCGGTCTGAATAATAGTGACACAGACAAACGACGTGCTGCCGATCAATCACACACTGGTGCACACTCTGAACACACACACACACACACACACACAGCTTCATGTATTCTCTGTATTCTTGGACTTCATTCCTGCTCCACCTGAACTGCCTCTTGCAAGATTTTGCACATAGAAGAAGAAATCCACGGCGGTCCATCCTGAGCAAAAACCGATCCTGCAGACCCACATGGACTTGAATATTTATGAATCAGAGATGAAGTTGGAGGAGGACTCAGATGGAGACAGCTCTGTCGAGTTTGGGTTCAGATCCAGCTTCTATGAAGGACACCAGAAAACACGCGTCCATGGAGGAGCTGAACCGGGCTGCCTGCTAGAACCCCGCCCCCCTCTCAGTGAAGGACCTCTGGAAGGAGGTCATGGTGAGAACTCATCCCACCACAGAAACCAGTTAGGACCCGTGTCCTCTAACACCAAACCAGTTAGGGCCCGTGTCCTCTAACACCAAACCAGTTAGGACCCGTGTCCTCTAACACCAAACCAGTTAGGGCCCGTGTCCACTAACACCAAACCAGTTAGGACCCGTGTCCTCTAACACCAAACCAGTTAGGACCTGTGTCCACTAACACCAAACCAGTTAGGACCTGTGTCCACTAACACTGTTTGTTGTGCTGCAGAGCTCAGGAGGTGTCAGATGGCTCCTCTCACCTCCAACTGCTGCACAAAGTTCGGTGTGTTTCTGTCAAAACACAAGAACAGCTGACGGACGGCGCGCTGTAGCAGTAGCATGATTGATTAGCGATCAAGTAGTGACCCCCGATTTCCACCCCATCCTGGAACGGCAGGTCTGTTTGTGAGGTGAGTTTCCTGGTGGATTACAGACAGCGGTAATCAGGAGAACTCACAAGAACCTTCAGATTCACGTTCAATCGCTCGATAACGAGTCGTCTCTGTAAAGACAGACACATAGACATATAAGCAGTAGATTGTGTCCTTCCAGAGGAGGAAATCTACTTCTAGACTTCTAGAATCAGCATCTCCTCATCCATGGTGTCATCGGGGTGAAATGACGTCTAAAAACCTTTCACTTGTTCGTCTCCGCCCGTTTTGAAAGAAGTCGGTGTAAATCGACACGTTAACTTGAACGGTTACGATCAGCTACGATCGGAGGATACTAACGGGTTCATTCAGGGGGGTTAGAGCAGGAATAAAAACCTCCAAGTCTTCATCACTCGGGGTCTCTCAGGGCCTCCAGAGTCGGGTCTTATTGTAGCAGGCAGCCCATGTACCAAGACCTGTTGTCATAGCAACAGCATGTCTGCTGAGTTATTTCCAACGAGCTCCGGGGTCGACCTCACCACGATGTCTGAAATAAAAGCTGGATCTGAACCTGCCGACCAGTTTAAGGTTCGGTTCTGTTTCAGTGAACAGAACCTGGAGTCAGATCTGGTCTCAGTCTGGGACTGCTCTGAGCTCAGGACTCACCATCACACCTGTGACCCGGATCTGTGGTGAAGGTTTCAGGTGCCACCTTCTCCTCCTCTCAGGAGAAATCATTTCATTCCACGATAACGTCGTTTTTTTATTTAAATCTATTTATGTTCTTCAGTGTGAGCATGTGTGTACGTCTCTCCATTTACAGCATCCAGTAACCACACACACACACGCACACACACACACACACACACGCACACACACACGCACACACACACACACACACACACACACAAAGGCTTTCGCCCTCATTATGCCTGACCTGGTGGAAGTTGAAGCAGAATGACGCGTCACTGTATCCGGTTTGTACATGGAGATGATCAGTTATTAAAATGTTGAACCTGAGTCCACTGAACACGTGTTCCTCTGTGTGTGTGTGTGTGTGTGTGTGTGTGTGTGTGTGTGTGTGTGTGGCTGATATCTGGTCACCAACTCTTGATAATTAAAGGGAACAGATCTAAGACAGGCTGTTTATCCTCGTTGAGGTTGAAATCAGAAAAAGGACCCAAAATGCAGGACGACACAAAGGATTCAGCAACAGGTGAGACACTGAGACACAGGTGAGGACAATCACAGAGGAAGTAAAATAAGACCAGACACACAGGGAATAAACTCCTACAAAATAAAACAGGAAACCCTGAAAACTGATAATAGAGAATAAAACACTGAGAACAGGAGGGAACCAGGGTCAGACACAAACTGAAAACTCACAAGACAAGACGACAGGAGAAGAGGAACGATGGGGAACAGAAACACGAGGAAAAATCACAAAATCAGAAATCAAAGCGAACAAGTTTAGAGATGTCTGTCAGTGAAAGACTTCTCCAACAGTGTCCTGATTATCATCGAAGAAAATCTCATTATTCTAACAAACCGATTTGTCATGAACCAAAGGACAGACTGAGGGACACATCAGCACGACACCAACACTAAACAGAGCGGGTTCATGAGGGTCAGGTGAGTGGTAAACAGGTAAACAAGGTTCAGGTAAAACAAGAGGGTGAACAATAACTGTGAAGAAACGCTGGAACAAGATCAGAAGAGGAACAAACTGAGACGAGACACACAGGGTTAAATACAGGAGAGATAAAGAGGGGGATGGGAAACAGGTGAGGAGACAGGTGTGACAAGACGGGGGCGGGGCAGACCAGACAGGAACAAAGGAACAAGGGTTAGTGATCTACAAAATAAAACAGGAAATACCAAATATGAATGTGCTGAAGAAATAAAAGAGAAACTGAACCAACAGGACAGGCTTAAAGTCTGAAGTCTTAAATCAATGACAGAGAAAAAACAGCTGATTATAAAGTCTGTAGATGATCCATCAAACACTCGCTCCTGTTTCAGAGTCTCTGTGTGAACGGCAGAGGGCGCCAAACACTCGGTTTCAGCCTCTCTGCACCTGTGGCGGAAGGAAACGAGCAGCTCAGCCGAGAACACCCGAGGATGGCCGAGGAGGCGCGGGGCGTTGCGTCAGAACGGCGAAGTGGGTTTAACGTGATGACGTCAAGCCAAAGCTAGCTTAAGGCGGAAGCTGATTTAAACCTTCAAAACAAAAGCTCTGAGGAGGAGGAGGCGGCCCTGTTCTCTACTCTGAGGTTCATATTCAGAACATGAGGAGGATGATCAGACAATCAAAGTGATTTACTGAATCAATGACGAATATTTAGAGGATCAGAATCAGAAAACACTTTATTGTCATTGAACACAGTACAAGTACAGGGACAACGAAACGCAGTGAAGCATCTAACCAGAAAGGCAAGGTAGTAAAGTGTAAGGTCTGTCCATATGGGCAGAGCAGGTATGAACTAAACATACTGTTACGTTTCTGCAGGTCACATGACGTGGAGGACAGGGGTCACGGACAGGGAAAGAAACAAAAGGAAAATCTGCACCTTCAAACAAAACACAAAAATATAAGGCCTTTGGGGTCTCAAAGATGGTGTGGAGTTATACTTCCCCACAGCCACCCACTAAAGTCGGCAAACCAAAGTAAAAGGCCACAAACCAAGAGAAACCAGCTGAAGGTGTCTTTGGTGTCACACACCTACCTGAGTGAAAGAACCTCCTTTTATAGACGACTCAGGCTGATGAGCAGCAGCTGAGTGAGGACAGGTGAGGGAGGACAGGTGAGCGAGGACAGGTGAGTGAGGACAGGTGAGGGAGGACAGGTGAGCTGAGTGAGGACAGGTGAGGGAGGACAGGTGAGGGAGGACAGGTGAGTGAGGACAGGTGAGGGAGGACAGGTGAGCTGAGTGAGAGGCTCATTAGGTGTGCTGGAGCTCACAGACTACCTCCATCTGTAACAATACTACAGTATGTATACACTCACCGGCCACTTTATTAGGTACACCATGCTAGTAACGGGTAGGACCCCCTTTTGCCTTCAGAACTGCCTCAATTCTTCGTGGCATAGATTCAACAAGGTGCTGGAAGCATTCCTCAGAGAGCTTGGTTCATATTGACATGATGGCATCACACAGTTGCCGCAGATTTGTCGGCTGCACATCCATGATGCGAATCTCCCGTTCCACCACATCCCAAAGATGCTCTATTGGATTGAGATCTGGTGACTGTGGAGGCCATTTGAGTACAGTGAACTCATTGTCATGTTCAAGAAACCAGTCTGAGATGATTCCAGCTTTATGACATGGCGCATTATCCTGCTGAAAGTAGCCATCAGAAGTTGGGTACATTGTGGTCATAAAGGGATGGACATGGTCAGCAACAATACTCAGGTAGGCTGTGGCGTTGCAACGATGCTCAATTGGTACCAAGGGGCCCAAAGAGTGCCAAGAAAATATTCCCCACACCATGACACCACCACCACCAGCCTGAACCGTTGATACAAGGCAGGATGGATCCATGCTTTCATGTTGTTGACGCCAAATTCTGACCCTACCATCCGAATGTCGCAGCAGAAATCGAGACTCATCAGACCAGGCAACGTTTTTCCAATCTTCTATTGTCCAATTTCGATGAGCTTGTGCAAATTGTAGCCTCAGTTTCCTGTTCTTAGCTGAAAGGAGTGGCACCCGGTGTGGTCTTCTGCTGCTGTAGCCCATCTGCCTCAAAGTTCGACGTACTGTGCGTTCAGAGATGCTCTTCTGCCTACCTTGGTTGTAACGGGTGGTTATTTGAGTCACTGTTGCCTTTCTATCAGCTCGAACCAGTCTGGCCATTCTCCTCTGACCTCTGGCATCAACAAGGCATTTCCGCCCACAGAACTGCCGCTCACTGGATATTTTTTCTTTTTCGGACCATTCTCTGTAAACCCTAGAGATGGTTGTGCGTGAAAATCCCAGTAGATCAGCAGTTTCTGAAATACTCAGACCAGCCCTTCTGGCACCAACAACCATGCCACGTTCAAAGTCACTCAAATCACCTTTCTTCCCCATACTGATGCTCGGTTTGAACTGCAGGAGATTGTCTTGACCATGTCTACATGCCTAAATGCACTAAGTTGCCGCCATGTGATTGGCTGATTAGAAATTAAGTGTTAACGAGCAGTTGGACAGGTGTACCTAATAAAGTGGCCGGTGAGTGTATATATATATGCATATACAGTATATATATATACATATATATATATATATATATATGCATATATATATATATATATATATATATATATATATATATATATATATATATATATGTGTGTGTGTGTGTGCAAGAAATGTGCTGAAAACACACACACGGTGTTGGTTACTGCAGGTATGAATAGGCTATACACCAAAAAATATATATATCTATATGTATATTATCTTTAAATACAGTAAACTGATTAGTGCAGGGGTGAAAAAGAGAGAATGCTATTAAACAGTGGGTGCGCTGAAGAACATAAACAGTAAGATAGTTAGGAGTATGAGTAGGAATATGTACAGATATTAAATATATAGTTGGATTAAATATGTGTATACAGACACAGCAGAGTGTGATTAGTCTTCGATGTACAACAGAACAGATTATACAGAGACCTTCTCCATTTCAGTGCAATAAATACAAAAAAGAAAACAGAGATTGAATTAAAAATTAAAAAATAGTTGAAAGATAAATAAATGATAATAAATGGTACAGACAACAGACATGATCAAATCCTCTGGTGCAGTGCAGACAGTGCAGTGAAAATTAAACTGTATACAAGAATAGGAAAGGAGGTAAATATGAGGGTAGGATCCAACCATATACTGAGGTAGGATTCACACAGCAGCAGTGGTTATATATTACACCAACTGTGTTCAAACAGAGCAGCAGCAGTTAGTTTACTGCACATGTTACTCATATTAAAGGCTGCGGTTGTTCTCTATGGGAGTTCAATGATGGAGTGTTTACCTTAGAGCGAAACTACGGCTGTATTCTCTGAACACCTTTACTCATCCTAATTATCCAACTTTAACGTTTATTTTGTCATAATGAGACTTTTTATCGTCTCATTAAAGAGAGACTTCTCATGAAAACTTCACTGAATCACCAAAAATGATCAAAGTCTTAAAAATGTCAAAGTCTGAATAAATGTAAAAATACTGTAATAAACATGTCTGTGTAGAAACAAAGAGGCTCATGAGGACCTTTAATTTGTTTGAAAAAAAGACACTCTTCAGACGACTTTTATTTTTGAAAGGAGCGGAAGTGAGCTGTGCTGTGAGCAGGTACCTTGACGTGTGTGTGAGGGCTGTGCTTGGTGGGTGTGTTGGTTGGTTGGTTGGTTGGTTGGTAGATTTCAGTCTCAGCAGGATAATAAACAATAATAAAGAGTTTGACGATGATGGAGGAGAGAGAGGAGAGCGTCCCGGTCAAACGGTGAGAGAGAGACTCTTTTAAAGACTGAAAACTGCTTTTATTCTGAAATGTTAATGAGCGTGAACTTTTCCACAGGAGACCCACTGACACAGAAAATATAAGAGCGGAAATAACTGACAGATCTGATCCCGGAGCAGGGCTCGGATCCGGGGCTTCAGTCTGGGTTTAATGGTCTCTCTCTCTGTGGTCGCTGGGCTCTGACTGGTCTCTGACTGGTTTTAATGGTTTTCTGACTGGTTTTCTGACTGGTCTCTGCAGCTGGTTCCAGTTCAGCCTCTGTGTGAACACTCTGTGACTTGAACAGGTCTGGTCCTTGGGGGTTTAGGGGGTCCTCACTCAGAAGTGGACTCGGTTTTTGTCGTATTTGGGGTCATAGTCTGGGTTCCTGGTCGGACCAGTTTTCGGTTCTTCTTCTTCTCCGGTTTTTCTTCATGAATCATTTGTAGTTTCTGCTCTGAGCTGTAAATCCTGTTATTATTATTATTATTATTATTATTATTATTATAATTATGACGTTAACATGATGCAGGTTCAGATCTCCTGTTTCTTTGAATTTCTCTCTCTTTGTTTCTCTGTTAATCTGGATTATTCCTTCATGGATTATTAAAGGAACGTCTGATCTTAATGAAGTTTGAGGTGATGGTTCAAATAATTCAGGATCTTATAATCTCATTTTAGTCCCAGTTTACTGACCAGCATAGAAATACATGTGGAGTCTTACAGTTTGCATCAAAACATCCAAATTCAGCTTTAAACATCTGCTTTTTCAGAGTACGGTGGCCAATGAGGGTCAAATCTATCAGTGAATTTGATCCTTTTTTTAGGTTTTGTCTGTTTGTCGGCGTCTCTCCTGCTGTTTTAACGTCCATGATATATCTGAGAAATAGAAATAACCGAGGGAGAGAGAGAGAGAGAGAGGAATGACAGCAGGTGATCCGTCTGCACCCAGAACCTGAGGGGACCCGGGGGTCCGCCTGACATAACCAGACCTGCTGAACAAACAAGGCGAGGAGCTCAAACCGAGCGGCACGCCTCACTACAGGAAGGTGAATTTAGGTCAGAGAGAGCGAGAGAGAGAGGGCGAGAGAGAGAGAGAGGGAGAGAGAGAGAGGGCGAGAGAGAGAGAGAGAGAGGGAGAGAGAGAGAGAGAGAGAGAGAGAAAGAGAGAGAGCGATGACTGCAGAAGGAGGAAGGAAATGTGAGGGAAGAGGAATAATGTAAATGTCTGTTTGTGTTTTAATAACGTTCTTAACGACCACGACGTCACATCTGAGAGTTCAGATGAGAAGCAGCTCTCTGTGGTTCTGACCGGGTCTCTTTATTGGACTGTATCAGACGGATCAGTGAACCCTCAGAGCTGAAAGTGTTTTTTATTAAGTGGAGCAGAACCCGGAGAACACAAACAGCTCCAGTCCTCATTCCTCTGGTCTTTGGATGAGGCTGCAGAACTTTTGTGGGACAGGATGTGGGTTTGTTCGCTCCGAAGTGGGTCATGATTCAGTCCAGAATATTTTGGCCTCTGTGTGGTCCAAAAGCCAAGTTTGACATTCTTTGTGTGTGTGTGTGTGTGGGCTGCATGTCGTCTCTCTCACACACACACACACACACACTCTCTCTCTCTCTCTCTCTCTCTGTTTGGTGAACAGTTTGTTCTCTCCTTTCAGGGTCAGTTGTTGTTGTTCTCAGAGACTCGGCACATGAGCAGCTTCATCTGTTCCTCACAACTTCACTCCTTCTTTGGCTTCAGCTTCCCTCCCTTCATTCCTTCCTTCCTTCCTTCCTTCCTTCCTTCCTTCCTCCTTTCCTTCCTCCCTCCCTTCCTCCTTCCCTTCCTCCCTTCTTCTTTCCTCCTTGTCTTTCTTGCAACATGTTTTTGTCTTTCTCCTTTTTTTTACTCTCCTGGTATTTCAGATCTCTCTCTCTCTCTCTCCCTCTCTCTCTCTCTCTCTCTCTCTCTCTCTCTCTCTCTCTCCCTCTCTCTCTTTCTCTATTAACAGTAGAGGACATGATGTTCTCTCTGGGCACGTTGCTTACACACACACACACACACACACACCTCTTCCATAGTGTGTTTGTGTGTTAGTGAAGCTGTGGGTGTGTCTGAATGCCTTCCTCTGTGTGTGTGTTTGTGTGTGTTTGTGTGTGTTTATATTTTTATTCAGTAACTACAGTTCCTTTGCCAACAAACACACACAGACTGGGGTGTGTAAATCTAGTGTCCTACACACACTGTAACACACACACAAACCAAAACACACACAGAGAAACACACACAGATTGAGCAACATGAGCCGGTGCACAGAGTGCAGCAGAGCTCCTGAGGACACAGTGTTCTCTGACGCTCCACCTCCCACACACACACACACACACACACACACACACACACACACACACACACACACAGCTGCTGTAGTACAGTTTGTTTTGGCTGCAGTTTCCCTCACGTTCACTGGGTCACAGTAAATCTGGAGTTTTCTTTGGAGGAACATTTTTGTCTTCAGAGGATTAGAGAGAAAAAAAAGAGGAGTAAGTGATTTATTTAAAAACACTGTGTGTCTTATTCTTGTTGTTCGCTGACGCATGAATGTTCCTTTAACTCAACAACAGACTGAGAGTCATGAAAACAGAACTTTAGATTCAGATCAACAACCAAAAAATGTTCCTAAATACTGATAAAGAGACGTCAGCTGGTGGAGCATTTCTGCTTTATTGCAGCAGACACCACCTAGTGGCCAACAGCTGAACTGCAGCTGAGACATGGAAGTTCATTTAAAAATGATAAAAACGTCAAAAAGGTGACGGAGCAACGGGTGCTGATGAGTGAGGAGGATGAACCACGATAACCAACGACAATTTTAACTTATTGGCCTCATATCGGCGTCTATATCAACATCATAACAGCGTCATATTGGCGTCATATCGGCATCATAACAGCGTCGTATCAGAGTCATATCGGCGTCATATCAGCGTCATATCGGCGTCATATCGGCGTCATGTCGGCGTCATAACAGCGTCATATCGGCGTCATGTCGGCGTCATAACAGCGTCATATCGGCGTCATGTCGGCGTCATAATAGCGTCATAACGGCGTCATAACAGCGTCATATCGGCGTCATATCAGCGTCATGTCGGCGTCATAACAGCGTCATATCGGCGTCATATCGGCGTCATATCGGCGTCATATCGGCGTCATAACAGCGTCATATCAGCGTCATATCAGCGTCATATCGGCGTCATATCGGCGTCATGTCGGCGTCATGTCGGCATCATAACAGCGTCATAACAGCGTCATAACAGCGTCATATCGGTCTCATATTGGCGTCATATCAGCGTCATATCGGCATCATATCAGCGTCATATCAGCGTCATATCAGCATCATATCGGCGTCATAACAGCGTCATAACAGCGTCATATCGGTCTCATATTGGCGTCATATCGGCATCATATCGGCGTCATATCGGCGTCATGTCGGCGTCATAACAGCGTCATATCGGCGTCATATCGCCGTCATATCGGCATCATATCGGCGTCATATCGGCATCATATCGGCGTCATATCGGCGTCATAACAGCGTCATATCGGTCTCATATCGGTCTCATATTGGCGTCATATCAGCGTCATATCGGCCTCATGTCGGCGTCATAACAGCGTCATATCGGCGTCATATCGGTCTCATATTGGCGTCATATCAGCGTCATATCGGCCTCATGTCGGCGTCATAACAGCGTCATATCGGTCTCATATCGGCGTCATGTCGGCGTCATATCGGCGTCATATCGGCGCACACACGACCTTTACATCAACTATTTGTAGAGACTTGATTCACACTCTGTCAGGACAGGAGGACACGTGACGTTCTGGAGGTCTGAGAAGACCAGACTGCAGTCCTGCTGCAGGTCTGAACACTGATTCAGGTCCAGGTCTGAACACTGATTCAGGTCCAGGTCTGAACACTGACTCAGGTCCAGGTCCAGGTCTGACAAGCAGCAGGACCTTCAACAACCATCAGCTGGAGGACAGTGAAGATCTCAGATGTCCTCCTGACCCAGCTGTGATCTGAGTCCTGAACCTGCAGTCTTTAGTGGTCTTCAGTGGTCCTGCAGGGCTCTGGGGACCTGGGTCATGGTGGATTTGGACTCATGTTTTCTGACTCACCCTGAATGACCCGAGGGAGGTCCAGTTCTCCAGAACACTAAGTCCTCTTCTCATGTTGGACTCTGTCCTTCATTGTTCCTCCCAGGATTAGTCTGATCCTGATCCCGCCCTGAAGGAGGCGGGACCGTGGAGGAGGACCATAGGGGGGGGGGGGGGGTCTGGACGCCGTCCCAGGACCGTCCAGATAAATAAAATTCTGTTCCTCTCAGTTTGGGACATTTTTGCTCCCAGTTCTGTCTTTAGACCCGGACTCTGCTGGACTCTGCTGGATTCTGCTGGACTCTGCTGGACTCTGCTGGACTCCTGAAAGTCTTTTTGGATCAGGGTCATTATCCAGGTTTTTACTCCAAACAAGGAGTCCAAAAATACGGGTCTGAGAGAGCAGGAGGAGAACCAGACCGAGGATCCAAAAGTCAGAACCCTGAGTCAGCAAAACACCTCAGAGGTCAGCAGAGAATCCAGGACCTGGAGAACCGGGTTCTTATAAAACTGGACCTGATTGTAGATGAGAGACACCTGAGGAACCATGTGGATCAGAACCAGGAAGAGGTGGGCGGGGCAGGAGAGGATAGGCCACGCCTACAATCACCCAGACAGACAGACAGACAGACAGACACAGACTCTCTCTCTGTCCTTTCCTGTCCTCTAACCTCCTTCTGTCCTTCCCTGTCCTCTAACCTCCTTCTGTCCTTTCCTGTCCTCTAACCTCCTTCTGTTTTTCACCCCCCCCCCCCCAGGACCTGTTCGGAGCAGAGGAAGCTGCGTTCTCGTGATGCGGCGCGATGTAGGCGGAGCAAAGAGACGGAGGTGTTTTATGAGCTCGCCCGCACTCTGCCCCTCCCCCGCAGAGTCTCCACCCACCTGGACAAAGCCGCCATCATGAGAGTGTCCCTCAGCTTCCTGTCGCTGCGGCGCCTCCTGCGACCCGGTGAGAAACAGCGGATCAGCTGTCAGACCCTTTTCTTTGTAGTCAGCGTGTTCTGGAGGCTCGGTTCTGGAGCCCGACTGCTGGGCAGTTTATGGTTAAAGTTCTGGAATGTTCCTCCTCATCAGAACTCCAGGGTTCCCCGTCCTCTAAGTTCTAAGGTCAGAGAGGCGGTCCTGATCAGAGAGTCACTAAACCAGAACCTGAGCAGATTTCAACTGGACCTCAGCTGAGTTCTGTTGAGGTCCACTCAGAGTTCCTGAGGGACCCTGAAGTAGCTTCAGATTTTAATGCAGATCTTTCTGTGTGGACGTTCAAACCGCAGGTGACGACCGGAAAAAGGAGTCTGACGAAGACGAGGAGGAGCAGGAGGAGGAGGAGGAGGATCCCATGGACACCTTCTACCCTCAGGTGTTGGCCGGATTCACCATGGTGATGTCAGAGGAAGGAGACATCATCTACCTGACCGACAACGTCAGCAAACACATCGGCATCACGCAGGTGGGAGGAGCACAGGACGACCACCACAGCAGCAACAATAATGATGATAATGATGAAGATGATAATGAGATTTAAAATACTTAAAATAATAATAATAATTATGATAATGATGATAATAATGATAATAATAATAATGAGGATGATAATGAGATTTAAAATACTTAAAATAATAATAATAATTATGATAATGATAATAATAATAATTATGATAATAATGAGGATGATAATGAGATTTAAAATACTTAAAATAATAATTATGATAATGATAATAATAATAATTATGATAATAATAATAATTATGATAATGATAATATAATAATAATGATAATAATGAAGATGATAATTAGAATTAAAATACTTAAAATAATAATAATAATTATGATAATGATAACAATAATAACAATAATAATAATGATAATAATGAGGATGATAATGAGATTTAAAATACTTAAAATAATAATAACAATAATAATAATAATGATAATATAATAATAATAATAATAATAATAATAATAATATTTCTATTATTATTATTATTATTATTATTATTAATAATAATAATGATAATATAATAATAATAATAATAATAGAATTATTATTATTATTATTATTAATAATAATAATAATAATAATAATAATAATAATAATAGAAATATTATTATTATTAATAATAATAATAATGATAATAATAATAATAATAATAATAATAATGATAATAATAATAATAATAATAATAATAATAATAATAATAATAATAATAATAATAATAATAATAATAATAATAATAATAATAATAATAATAATAATAGAAATATTATTATTAATAATAATAATAATAATGATAATGAATAAACCTTTGAGGAGCTGCTGACAGTCTTGTTGTTGGTTCTTTCCAGCTGGAGCTCCTGGGTCAGAGCATCTTTGACTTTGTTCACCCCTGTGACCAGGAGGAGCTCAGAGACCTGCTGGCTCCACGTCCAGGTCAGACTCACTCTATGACCATTGTAATCCTGCAGACATCGTCTGAGCTGTGATAACGCTGAACCAACACACTAAAAGGTTTTAGGTTCGCTCTGGAGGACTGACTTTGTCTCTCCGGCTCCAGGTCTGAGTAAGAAACCAGCAGTTGATCCGTCCAGTGAGAGGAACTTCTTCCTGAGGGTGAAGAGCACTCTGACCAGCAGGGGGCGCACCGTCAACATCAAGTCTGCTGACTGGAAGGTTCAGTATCACACCCTCTGTAAATAAACATACAAACACACACACACACACACACACACGAACTTCATCTTTGCCCTAGATGCTCTGAGAACACACGCACACACACACGCGCACGCACACACACACACAAACTTCCTCTCTGGGCTAAATTGTTAAACACATGTACACGTAGCTCTATTTGGCCAGCTCAGAGAAAATACTCTTACACACACACACACACACACACACACACACACACACACACACACACACACACACACACACACACACACACACACACACACACACACACACACACACACTCTGAAGGCTACTGTCCAGCCTGACACAGATACGTGGAGGTCAGACTTCTTGGCAGTTCTCCTTGTTCTCTTCTCTCTGCCCAGTGTGCTTAAATCACGTGTTTGTTTACAAGGAGACACAAGTGTGCACGCACACACACACTCACACACACACACACGTGCACACACACAGAGTTGCTGATATGTTCCCTTCGGTGTCCAGCAGAGTGACTCCCTGGCTGTTAAAGAGGTCAGGTTTTGCAGAAGTCTCTGGGATAATGACCCACTTTCACTTAATGTCTCTCCTCAGTTCTGGGTCCTGGTTCAGGTTTTGGTTCCTGTCTCAGATTTTATTTCATATTAAAATCAGGAAGCTCCAAAATAAGGTCAAAACCCTAAAGCAGCAGCAGGAGTCCACATGTCCAGGAGGAGTTCTGGTACCGTGTATTTACTGAAGCCCATCAGGTTACAAACTCCAGATGTAAATTAATAACTTTATATTTCAGAACAGCAGAGACAGAGTCCAGGACGGGTCCACAAGATCACAGTTCATGTGTGAGAAAACTGCGGAGGCCAAATAGCGAATCACGCCCACATATTTTGGCTCCGCCCCAAATTAAGAGTGTTTTGGACGGAGGTTTTCGACACCTGAAGGAGGATTTTAAAAAGAATATTAATGTAATACCTGAAGGTTTGGACTTCAACATCTTACTGAGTCCAGAACCATCAGAACCTCCTCCTGTAACATCTGGACTCGAACCGTCTGGGATATTTATCAAACGGATCAGATTTTCACTCAAGCTTCAGAGGACCTCCTTTAACGACAGACGAGAACCTTTTTATTCATGTAATAACAGTTTATGTTCACGCTGTGAGAACTTCCTGTCACATCCAAACACTGTCCTCCCGCCTCTGACTGAACCCGGGTCTTTAAATCTGTACTTCAGAGCAGACAGGGTTTAATTAAGAGGATGATTATTATGATTGTTGGAGAACAGCTGAAAAAAGGAACAGAAATGAACGGAGACGTTTAAACTGAATTAAGACATTGATCACAGAGCCAATAACCGTCTGATCGGTTTGAAGGTGATCAGCTGTTTCCTCCTCAGACCGCTCTCCCCCAGGTCAAAGGTCAGACGGACCTCTAAAACCCCCTCGTGTCTCTGCAGGTCCTTCACTGCACGGGTCACATGCGTCCGTTCAGCCACAGCTCCATGTCGCCCCCTACAGCCCGGGTCATGACGCTGCTGTGTGAGCCCATCCCTCACCCGTCCAGCGTGGAGTTCCTTCTGGACACACACACTTTCCTCACTCGCCACAGCATGGACCTGCGCTTCACACACTGCGAGGGCAGGTAAGAGGAACACCTGAGACCTCTGACCTCTGACCTCTGACCTCCGTGGAGGTTAAAGAGGAGAGCTTTGTCTCCTCCTGAAAAAAGAAGTGGGTCTGTGGGTCTGTGGGTCTGATCCGTCCCTCATTGGTCCTCCGTCTGTTTCCAGGGTGATGGAGTTGGTTGGATACAAACCTGACGATCTGATTGGCTGTTCAGCTTACGAGTTTCATCACGCACTCGACTCCGACCACGTCAACAAGAGTCTGCACACGCGTGAGTGCTTGATGTTTGTCGTCTGTAGTTGTCAGTAGTTAAGCCCCGCCCCCCGATGTTAACGTCTCTGTTTTCTCCGCCCTCCTGCTCACCTGCAGTGCTGTCCAAAGGTCAGGTGAGCACCAGTTGTTACCGTTTCCTGGCGAACGGCGGCGGCTTCGTCTGGGCGCAGACTCAGGCCACCGTCCTCTACAACAGTAAGACGTCTCAGCCCGAGGCCGTGGTCTGTCTCAACTTCGTCCTCAGGTACTTGAAAATGTGAGCGGACCAAAGATGGAGGGAACTCTTCTTCTTCTTCTTCTGTGGTTTGATCTCTCCTGTCGTCCCTCCGCAGCGGCGTGGAGCAGCCTGATGTGGTTTTCTCCGTGGAGCAGATTCGCAGCAGCAGGTCATCTGCAGGTCAAACTCTGTCACCAGAGGGCGCTGAGACCCCAGACCTCGGTGACCTGGACTGTGAGCGTCTTTCCGGCCCAGAGGACACCGGTTCACCTCCCAGCAGACTTCCAGAGCTCTTCTCCAGACTGAACGGGGAGCCAGAGGCCCTTCTTCAGTTGGCGCCTGCAGCCGGGGACGCCATCGTGCCGCTGACAGGAGGAGGTGAGACACAGACACGCTTCAGGTGTTTTCAGGGATGCAGGTTTCTTTAAAGGTTCTCTGAGGTGCCGTTGGCCCGGCGGTTCTTGAACGGTTTTTGAAAACATCTCGCTGTTCCTCAAAGAGACACCTGACAATCAATCTCCACTCAGTTTCCTGTTCCTCAGAACCACTGGCATGTGAAAAGTTAGAATCAGGAGGTTCTTCAGAAGGTTCTTTAGAAGGTTCTTCAGAAGGTTCTTTAGAAGGTTCTTTAGGAGGTTCTTCAGAAGGTTCTTTAAGAGGTTCTTTAGGAGGTTCTTCAGGAGGTTCTTTAGGAGGTTCTTCAGAAGGTTCTTCAGGAGGTTCTTTAGAAGGTTCTTCAGAAGGTTCTTTAGAAGGTTCTTCAGAAGGTTCTTTAGAAGGTTCTTCAGAAGGTTCTTTAGGAGGTTCTTCAGGAGGTTCTTTAGAAGGTTCTTCACAAGATTCTTTAGGAGGTTCTTCAGGAGGTTCTTCAGAAGGTTCTTTAGGAGGTTCTTCAGGAGGTTCTTCAGAAGGTTCTTTAGGAGGTTCTTTAGAAGGTTCTTCAGAAGGTTCTTTAGGAGGTTCTTTAGGAGGTTCTTCAGGAGGTTCTTTAGAAGGTTCTTTAGAAGGTTCTTCAGGAGGTTCTTCAGGAGGTTCTTCAGAAGGTTCTTTAGGAGGTTCTGTAGGAGGTTCTTCAGAAGGTTCTTCACAAGATTATTTAGGAGGTTCTTCAGAAGGTTCTTTAGGAGGTTCTTCAGGAGGTTCTTCAGAAGGCTTTTGCTGAATTTCTTCTCAGCTGTCCAACCCAGATTTATCTCTGTGCTCTCCGTTTGTCAGAACGTGTGGAGCTGACCTTCTGCAGTCCACCCAGTCCAAACTTGGTGCCAGAACGTCCTCAGGATCTGTGCAGCCCACAGCTGAGACAGCTCCTGTCTCCGATCTTCGATTCCACCACTTCCTCTCCATCTTCACCGTCGTCATCGCTGTCATCTCCAGCAGCACCTTCACCTGGACCACAGCAGGTAACTATGATTCTGAAAAACAGGTGAAGTCCATGTTTACCTTCTCACCTGACTGTGGTTGCTCCTCTTCTGTACATCTCAACGGTGTTGTTTCTCTTGTTTCTCCTCAGGTCTGCAGAGAAGATGAAAAGATGGACACCAGCGAGGTGGAGAAGTTCTTTGCTGTTTGTTCAGAAGATGATCAGAGAAGAGACGACATCCGGGAGGTAAGAGAGAAAGACTGAGAGCTGGTCAGAGTTTACGTCTGAGGAACATCATGTAAAAGTTGGTTTGGTCAGAGATGGTCAGAGATGTTCTCAGCTGTTTCTGGTCTTTCTTCTCTGCCCCCCCTTCTCTGAACATTCAGGAGATGGATCTGGACATGTTGGCTCCTTACATCTCCATGGACGATGATTTCCAGCTGACCGTCCTCAGCAACAGTCTGTCAGAAGAAGCTGAAGAACCTTCATCTAAACCGCCTGCCGTGATGTCTTCAGTGTCTGAGGGGAGAAAACGGTACGAGGGGTTCATCTGCAGACTCATGTTTGAGGGACAGTCAGGAGAAACACCTCTGAGACCTGAGAGACGATGAGACCAGATGAGAGGACAGTAAACCTGCAGAGATGTTAGAGAAGAACATCTCAGACCTCAGAGAGTCACCCTGGTCTGAGAGAAGACTGTTCAGATCTATAAACTTTATATCTATAACCCAGAGGAGAAATCCTCAGCAGGAGACAAATCCACTGAGTTAAATAAAGGGTTAAATTATCGTGTAAACACGATTATTCCGTTTCAATATTTTGACGAGTTTAATCCTCGTCCAAGTCTGAAAAATCTCATCATCAGTGATCTCCAGATGAGGAGTGAAGCTAGAGTCTGAGAACTTTCTACTATCATGACTGTAGATCCTCCTCACTGTAGATCCTCCTCCTCCTCCTGACTGTAGATCCTCCTCCTCCTCCTGACTGTAGATCCTCCTGACTGTAGATCCTCCTGACTGTAGATCCTCTTCCTCCTCCTGACTGTAGATCCTCCTCACTGTAGATCCTCCTCCTCCTCCTGACTGTAGATCCTCCTGACTGTAGATCCTCCTGACTGTAGATCCTCCTCCTCCTCCTGACTGTAGATCTCCTCCTCCTCCTGACTGTAGATCCTCCTCCTCCTGACTGTAGATCCTCCTGACTGTAGATCCTCCTCCTCCTGACTGTAGATCCTCCTGACTGTAGATCCTCCTGACTGTAGATCCTCCTCCTCCTCCTGACTGTAGATCCTCCTCACTGTAGATCCTCCTCCTCCTCCTGACTGTAGATCCACCTCCTCCTCCTGACTGTAGATCCTCCTCCTCCTACTGACTGTAGATCCTCCTGACTGTAGATCCTCCTCCTCCTCCTGACTGTAGATCCTCCTCCTCCTCCTGACTGTAGATCCTCCTCCTCCTGACTAAAGGAGGACTCTGTGATTTCACGTTAACTCTTCTTCTTCTTCTTCTTCTTCTACTTAATCCTGAAATCCACAAAAATACCATCTAGTAGTTGAGGAACGAGGAGCAGAGGACACTCTTTTCAGTCCTGTGTTTGTCCTGAAGGGGGCGCCACAGGACAGACTCTGTTGTTGCTGAATGAGGAGCGTTTCTCCTGCTGAGCTCTAACCTGAGCTTCATACTGACTCAGCTGCTAAAATGAATTAAAACAGATTAAATTAAAACCTGAAAACCATTTTAATGTCCTTTTTTTTTCTTTCAGGACCCACGACCCTGATGAGGAGATGATTCAGAACAAGAGACAGAAACATGGAGCTTCAATAGAAGAGCAGCTTCTCCTCAGCCACAGACTGCTGGTGAGGAAGAGGAGGAGGAGGAGGAGGAGGAGATTATATAGATATATCTATAGATAGATGTACCGTGTATTTATCTTTGTTTCTCTGTGACTTCAGCCTCATCAGTAAACTGAAGTTTTTTTCGTCACTCTAATATTCTGGCGCTCGGCGTCTCGTGATCTTCTCTCTGTGTTCCTCTCTGATCATTTTCTCCCTCCAATCCCAGGACTGTCTGGGGGAAATGGACCAATCAGATCTGGCCCTGTTGTCTGGGTCAGGTAGGCGGAGTCAGATGCTCTCAGACAGAGACCCTCTGTTGGGAGGCGTTCATGGACTCTGCGATACTGCAGGTAAGATGATGATGATGATGTTCTGACGGGTCTCATGTCAGTGTCTGATCAGTGTGGAGGCCGTCTGTCTGTGTTTGGTTCTGTTATGGCGTTCTATTATTATCAGGGGCTGACCCGACGCCGCGAACAGCAGGCAAGGAATTATTATTATTATTATTGTTTTTAATAATAATAATATTATTATTATTATTATCATTATTATTATTATTATTATTATCATTATTATTATTATTATCATTATTATTATTATTATTATTGTTGTTATTATTAGTATTTATTGTTATTATTATTAGTATTTATTGATGTTATTGTTGTTGTTATTGTTGTTATTATTATTATTATTTATTGTTGTTGTTGTTATTATTATTATTATTTATTGTTGTTGTTATTATTATTGTTATTTATTGTTGTTATTATTGTTTATTATTGTTGTTATTATTATTATTATCATTATTATTATTATTATTATTATCATTATTATTATTATCATTATTATTTTTAATAATAATATTTTTATTATCATTATTATTATTATTATTATTATCATTATTATTATTATCATTATTATTTTTAATAATAATATTTTTATTATTATTATTATTGTTATTATTATTATTATTATTATTATTATTATTTATTGTTGTTGTTGTTATTATTATTATTGTTATTATTATTATTATTATTATTTATTGTTGTTGTTGTTATTATTATTGTTATTTATTGTTGTTATTATGAAGTCAAAGGTCTTAAAGTGCAGAGCTGATCCTCGGTCTGTTTCAGGATCTGTTAATTTTAGAGTTTATTGTGTTTTTGTGAAAATATTAAAATGTTTTTTTTGTTTCTCCTTTGACCCTCTCTGACCCCGCCCCCCCCCCAGCTCTGATGGCGGACTCGTTCTCACAGCGTCTGTCTGACCTCTGTCTGCCGCCGCCTCTCTCAGCGATGACCTGAGATCTCCTTCAATCATCAGACGATCTTCTGAGCAGCAGCAGGAGGAACATCCGGCTGCAAACACCTGGGTTACCTGAACACACACCTATAAACAAACACAGCACGCCACCGCCAAGAACAACGCACACCCGTGTAAACCCGCGCACACGTGTAAACCCGCGCACACGTGTAAACCCGCGCACACGTGTAAACCCGCACACGCTAACAGAATGGTCAGTCTGCTCTGTGGAAACAGAGACAGTGGTGCTTTAAGACCATGAGAGACCGGCAGAAGGATCCTGTAAGACCCTGGAAGATCCTGATCCTGTAGGACCCTGCAGGACCCTGTAGAATCCTGTAGGACCCTGAAGAATCCTGTAGGACCCTGTAGGACCCTGTAGGACCCTGTAGAATCCTGTAGGACCCTGTAGGACTTGGTCCTCCTCAGTGCAGCTAAGTCTCTCTTTTTATTTGGTGCTTCTATCAGTAAATGCAGGAATTCCCAGAATCCTTTGCTTTTGATTCAGGTTAGCCTCCCCGTTATCTCACCTGTTCTTCCACACTTGACCCTGACCCTGACCCTGACCCTGACCCTGACCCTGAACCTGAACCTGCGTATATCAGTGGCATCTTTTTTCTATACTGTGTTTTTTTAATCCTGACTTCAGCTGTAGACCCTCTGATGGTCCAGACAAAGACCTGAACCCTGAGTCCATCATCATTAGGGGGCTCATGAGGTCTACAGGGGCTGGGGGGTCTACTCTATGACTCTGATGTGAGGAGATCCATGAGTGAGGAGGAGATCCTCCGTCTTCGTGTGGAGATCAGCAGAAGAACTTTGAATCTTCTAGAATCATCTAAAGTCTTTTCTAACAGACACTCATGTAGAGACCTGAACGCTGTCGACTTCAATCATCAACTGTAGTTCTGCTTCACTGTGAGAAGAAGGAGGAGGAGGAGGAGGAGGAGGAGGAGGAGGGGAGGAGGAGAAGCAGGAAAAGGAGGAGGAGAAGGAGGAGGAGGAGAAGAAGGAGGAGGAGGAGGAGGAGAAGAAAGAACCTTTTTATTTTTCTGGTTTGTTTCTACAAATATCTGATTTTCATGTCCTTCGTAGAAGAGTCCTCAGGTCCTCAGGTCCTCAGGTCCTCAGGTCCTCCAGGACGAGGTTTTTGAACTGATGGTGGTTCTGTTGGACCTGAGGATTCAGGATCTGCTCGGATCTCTTGGTTTTAATTTGTTTTCACTCTTTAACTGAATAAATCTGATTAACTGAAGCTGCTGTGTGGTGAATATATGAATGAATGAATGAATGAATGAATGAATGAAGGTCTCCTGTCCTCCTGCAGTCACATGACCATGAAGGTTTTCTTCAGACAGGATCATCGTCTTCATCATCTCCTCTTCTTCTTTAGTTTAAGAGCAGCAGGTCGCAGCAGTTTTTCCTCAGAAAATATGAAACATTCATAAAAATATTCAGAGTTTATAAACATGTAAAAATGACCAACATTAAATGAACATTTTATTGTAAAGTTTAGAAAAATCATTAAAGTAATTATGCTAAAGAGGTTAGTAATGTGTGTGTGTGTGTGTGTGTGTGTGTGTGTGTGGACCAGAGAAGAGTGGATTTACCGTGTGCTGTCCTCAAACAGAAACAACCTCTTTGTGACAATTAAAATTATTTAAAAAATAAATAAAAATTATAATCATAAAGATAATGAAAATAATATTAATACTAATATTAATAACAACAACAATAATAATGAAAATAATAATAATAATGATGATGAAAATAATAATAATAATAATAATGATAATAATAATAATAATAATAATAATAATAATAATAATAATAATAATAATAATAATAATAATAATAATAATAATAATGAAAATAATAATAATAATAATAATAATAATAATGAAAATAATAATAATAATAATAATAATAATAATAATAATAATGAAAATAATAATAATAATAATAATAATAATAATAATAATGAAAATAATAATAATAATAATAGATGATAATAATAATAATAATAATAATAATAATAATAATAATAATAATAATAATAATGAAAATAATAATAATAATAATAATGATGATAATAATAATAATAATAATAATAATAATAATAATAATAATAATAATAATAATAATAATAATAATGATGATGATAATAATGATAAAGTTAGTGAAAATAAATATTAAGATAATGAAATGAGCTCTTATATCTGTTTCATGGAGGCGACCATCTTGCCGTGTTTCTGCAGCAGCTCAGAACAAACCAGAGTCTCTGTGTTTCTGTTTTTATGTGTTTTTCCTGGTTTTTGTGTGTTTTTGTGTGTTTTGAGTTTGAACCGCTGCAGACAAGACAAAGAAGAGGAGTGGTCTGCTGCTGCTGCTGTGTTAATAAAGGGGGTCTGAAACGCCTCAACAAAAACTCCACAAATAGAGGATCAAACGCAGAGAGCTTTGTGTCCACAGGAGGCCACCGTAGTCTCACCGACAAGAGGGGCGAGTAAAGAAGGACTTTCTGGAATCAGACCCATCAGTGTGGCTGTTTTTACAGACTGTCCCTTTAACAGAGAGAGACCCTAACATCAGCACAGGTAGTGATCAGCTGATTGGTCAGTGTAGACAGGTAAAGGTGATGTTTACCTTCAATATGACAGTCAGGAAAGGACCTCTGACCTCTCTGTGTTTTCAACATAGTATATACTATAACATCTATAGACTGTACTGTACTATAATGTACTAATAAGATACTACTAATATACTGTTTATACTTTACTATATTATTCTGTGGTTTCAAACCCTTTTTATTGATTTTGTAAATATAATCATCATTTCAGATGTTTCTCTGAAAACATTTCGAGGTCTCACAGAGTCTCACAGAGTCTCACAGAGTCTCACAGAGTCTCACAGAGTCTCAGAGTCTCAGACTCTGGTCTGAGGAGGAAGTCCTGGACCTGGAGGCCGTCCTTCAGACCTCCTTCAAATTCAAGTTTTGGTTCTTCCTCGTTTCAAAATGTGACTCAGTGTGTGTTTCCCCAGACACTGCAGGAACAAAGTGTTCAGAGGAGTCTTCCCTAACACACACACACACACACACACACACACACACACACACACACACACACACACACACACACACACAGCTGACAGAGGAGTTACATAAGGCTGGTTGATAAATGACTCATTAGACACTCAGAGTTTTTCTGTTTCTTCACTGAAAATAAAGAAAATAAAAAGTCCAAGACTCTGTAAGATCACCACACTGTCCTACACACACACACACACACACACACACACACACACACACACACACACACACACACACACACACACACACACACACACACACACACACAGGTGAGATCCTCTAAAGGTAAATCAGTCCTTTTTTGACTCTTTGTTTGTCTCGGGATGATTCCTGGTGTCGGAGAGTTTCTGGAGCCGCTGGTCCAGTTTTCTTTTGGTGGTTATCAACCTGAGGGTCGGGCCCTTTAAAGGGTCAGAGGATGAACCTGAGGGGTCAGTGGTGGACGTTCTTATAGAGCTTTAATCACATACCTAGATCCTTCACACTCACTTTGTTTGGACTGCTGTCCTTGTCCCAGTTTATAAACCTTTATTACTGACAGACATGTCCTCTTCCTCCTCTACTGTAGGTGGCGACACGCCCACCTCAGCTCGTGAGTGACAGGTCATCTCACAACAAGGTCGCCATATTCCGATAAAGACCGGACAACTGAAGGTCATGTAAACACTTTAGTCCGACTATAATCTGAGTTTAAGAACTCTGATTAAAACACCCAGATAATGAGATTGGAATTTGATTTTCTCGACCATGTAACCAGCGTAGTCGGAGTATGAAGCCACGCCCCCGTAACCCCGTAACAAACCCCCAGAGTAGAGGAGTAGCGTTGGTCTCCTCTTTAGAAAAAGTAGCGCGTCCATCATGTCGGACAAAAACAACGCTGTACGATGCTCCATCTTCTTGTTTCTCCAAAATGCCCAGCAGCAGTTGGAGACACTTCTGACGTCTGACACCGACCTGCTGTTGTTGTTGACGGTTGGATGGGGTCGGAAACAGCGCCGCTGAAAAGACCCATATCGCCCCCTAGTGTTGGGGAGGAGGACACGTTCACGTCAATAATTCAGTTTTCTCAGAGAGAAGTCTGATTCAGAGAAAAAGACGAATTATGAGTTTAGTCGATTAAACTGAGACTGTAAACGACCTGAGGGTTACAGGTCTGAGCCTTTTGTTTGGATGAGAGTCTTCATGTCCTTCACCTTCAGAACATCTGAGCATGCTCAGAACCCTGACCCCAACTGACCCTGACCCCGGCTGAACCCTGACGCTGAACGCTCATATATGTGACAGAGATTTAAGGCGGTTCCAGTCAGACCAGCAACACGAGGATATACTGTGATGGTTCAGCCGTACACACACACATACACACACACACACGCGCGCACACACACACACACGCGCGCACACACACACGCGCGCGCACGCACACACACACACACACACACACACACACAGTGATCTCTGGTTTCTTTAAGGTGAAAACTCTCAGATCTTTATTGTTCGGTCAAAGGTTTGTTGAGACGTTTCGCTCTGATAGCAGCAGTTCTGTGATTTCCCACGCTGCCGTGTGTTTATCAATGATCTTGTCCTCGTTCACTCATTCATCTGCCCGTAAACCGCTGCCTGCTGACTGTACACAGCAGCCGCTCTTCTGCTTTTCACTTCCTGATTGGAGTGAACTAATCAGCTTCTGCTTTGAGTCGGACCGGTTTTCTCAGACACACCCTGAGCTCACACAGACCTGACGCTTCACCGCCACTCTCCACGTCACACGACACCAACAGTTCACTCAAACACGCTCCAGGTTAACCGCCGTTCAGTCCTCTGACCGCAGGAAAGAGTCGGTTACCTGAGTGTCTGAATCACTGCCCTGCTTCTTTGGAAGAAACGCCGCGTCACAGGAAGTGACACGTTGGAGTAAAGATAAGGTTTTTCTGTCATTAAGTGACGGTCAGCTGTCAGGTCTGTGTCTCAGCCCCTCCCCCTAACCCTGACCAGCTGCTGTCTGTTAATTAATTATTTCCCAGAATAACTTCATTAACTTCATTTTAACAATTTAACTCACTGTAAACAAACACAAGATCCAACAAAACGACAACAGGTTAGTCAGATAACCTTTCACCTGATTAATCACCTGATTAATCACCTGATTAATCACCTGATTGATCACCTGATTAATCACCTGATTGATCATGGTCGGCTCCATCGTCATCAGCACCCCCCTTCCTTTAAATGGGTGAGATTAATCAATAAATAAATTGATTGAAAAAAACATTGAATGGACGTGTCTCTTTTAAACCGAACAGATCAACATTTTATGGTAAAGTGTGTGTGTGTGTGTGTGTGTGTGTGTGTGTGTGTGTGTGTGTGTGTGTGTGTGTGTGTGTGTGTGTGGGCCAGAGAGGAGTGGATTTACCATGTGCTGTCCTCAAACAGAAACAACCTCTTTCTCACAATTATAATAAAAAAAAAAAAAAAAAAAAAAAAAAAAAAAAAAAAATAATAATAATAATAATAATAATGTGATTATAATAATAATCATTATTATTGGGACCTCATGACCTCATGAAGGCCGCCTCCATCCGCCTCCACCCGCCTCCACCCGCCCCGTCACTGACAGGAAGGATCCGGTCTCCAGAGATACACTGAAAACACACAAACACTCACACGATCACGGGCACCTGGAAAAACATGGCCGCTCCGCTCCACGCCTCCATCAGACCGCCAACGACCACGATCGACCACAAACATTCAAACATCAAACCATCAACTTTGAGAGACGAGTCCAAGTTTAAACCCAAGCAAGCAGCCAATCAGAGCCTTTCATCTTCATCATGTGATTGGTTCGAGCGTCCTGATGCAGCCAATCAGGCGTCAATGTTTCACCTGCAGAGGAAATCCTGAGCTGCTGCAGACAGCTGTCAATCAAACGCAGTCATGAGGTCACATGACCCTGCGGCCCGCCCATCAGACGTCCTTATCGTCTGACAGAGAAACCGGCTGGATGTCCTCGCCACTCGTCCTGTCTCTGAGACGGAACGTGGGGACCTCCTCGTAGGGGGGCGGGGGGTTCTCTGGACTCTGATTGGACAGGAGGGAACAGTCACTGCCGTCTGATTGGTTGTTTAGAGGCGAGGGTTGACTGCTGGGGGCTTCCTGAGCCAATAGGAGCTGAGTGGGTCCTGGTGCGGAGCAGGCAGGGAGGCGCTGACCCCAGCTCCCGTAGACCGCCTCCTCATAGGAGGGGAGGGAGACAGGAAGTCCGTCCACCATCAGGTTCAGCTGGTCTGAGGAGTGACGGCTGTGGGAGGGGCAGAGAGACAGAGAGGGTCACTGTGGGCGGGACACCCAGAACCTCCGAACCAGCAGCTCCACCAACGCCGTTTTATTCTCACCTTTGTGATTGACAGGGATGGAGGCGGGACTTGACGACCAGGCAGGCGGTGGTGGTGAGCAGGAAGATGGACACGCCCACCGCCGTCGTGGCCATGCTGGGCATGGTGTCGTCCTCCCTGCTGTCAGCGTTCATGTTCGGACCTGAAGAGGAGGAGAGGGACAGGAAGTGAGACCAGACCGGACCGGACCAGACCAGACCAGACCGGACCAGACCGGACCGGACCAGACCAGACCAGACCGGACCGGACCAGACCAGACCAGACCAGACCAGACCAGACCAGACCGGCATCTGTAGAGAACCGATCTGTAACCCAGGAGCTCAAACTAAAACCCCAAACGTGGTCTTCACTCACACCGGAACCTGAGCTGATGGAGGTCAAATCCACAAAGAGCAGACCAGATACCTGACCCCTTTAAAAACCACAGACTGAATCTACTCTGGACAACTTGGCTCCGCCTACCGCCAGTTTACAGATTTGAAGACGAACAGTTCTCAGTAATTCAGTAACGTTGTTCTTATTCAGCAGGAGAGTCTCTGTGATGACGCTCGGCTCAAACAGCGTATCCCCCGGTGATCTACTCAATCCCTGTCCTCCCATTGGCTGTATCAGGTGTCAATCATAGAAAACATGAACCCCCTAATAAGTTTTAAAAATGGAGCTGTACAGAAAAAAGAGGACTTGAACACAAACCAGTCTGACAGTAACTACATGTCAACATCACAACCAGGGGGGAGAAACATTTATATTCTGTGTCATTCATTTATAAAGTTTGTCCACAGCTCCATAAGGAGGCGGGGTTTAGGACCTATACTGCAGCCCGTCACCAGAGGGCGCTGTTCTCAGAGAGGAGACAGACAGCGTCTGTTCTAGATACAGTCTCTGGTTAAAAACTCACAGCTGTGACAAACCCGACAAAGTCCGGTCCTCATGAGTACCAACATAAAACCAGGACCTAAAGTAGGTCACAGGAGTCTCTGCCAGGTCACATGACTTTAATGGTCCGGCGTCCAGAGTCCGATCAAACCTGGGTGAGTCATAAACGGAGGGAATAAACATTACCCAGACTAGAACCAGAAGTCGAGCTGAGGGGGATTATGGGGGATGGCGTCCTCCCTGAAGTCGTCTCAGAAATATAAAATATAACCGCCATTTTAACCTCTGGGGGTGTAACTGAGCGGCGTCCTCACTGGCTGCCGGCACACGCACACATACCTACAAACACACCAAACATCGCCCTCCCCGCCAGCGTCGCTAATTACCCAGGATGCAGCGTTAATTTTTCAAAGGTGAACTGTCAGAGTCTGGACGTTTGTCTCGGGTCAAAGTCGACCTCCTGTCTCCTCTGTTTTTTCTTTTCTGTTTTCTACTTTTTGATGTTTTTGTAAATATTTCTGCTCTTCACCTCTGAAGGCGGCTGTAAAGAATCGTCACCGACTACGCCGGTGGATTACTGACAGGAACCGAGCCCTGAGGTGACCCGGATCCTGTCAGAACCTCTGTCAGGACTGATGGAACAGGTCTTGATCCGGTTCTGAGGTCTCTCTTTTTCTCCTGTGACTCAGAAGATTTCCATGAAGCTCTGACAGCACAGAGGAAGTGCTCATGGGTAATTTTGGCGGCTTCGACCACTTCCTCGTTCTGCGCTCATCCTGTCACGGCGAGTTTCACTAAACGGTGACAGAGGAAGTCAGAGCGCCGTGCGTCTCTGAAAGTAGGTCAGAGTATCGAAGCGATCTGCTGATGGCGGCGGATTAAGACGCACTCGGACTCTAAAGGGTTAATGTCGGCCTACTTTAGAGCGGCGGTGTTTAGATGACGCCCGACCCCACCCAGGAAGTTTCACCAGCAGAGGTTAAAGGTCACTTTGTTTACAACGACCACGATGATCTGATAAGACGTTTCATTCAGAATTAACCCTTTAGATCAGGTCACACAGGGCGGACTTTGGCGTTTAAGACGACCGCCAATAAAGACGACGATGACGGAGCTTCAAAGGATAAACAAACGGAGACGAACGTCACTGTCAGAGGTTCAGGAGACACTGTGAGACTCTCTGTCCTGCTGTGTCTTCGAGGACGTGTCCTTCTCTCTCTGAAGACTTTTTGTTGTTTCACTGATTTTCTGACGTCGACCTGCTGAAGAGACTGAAGATGGAAACGAACCTTCGAACCTTCAAACCTTCGAACCTTCGTCTGTAATCTCAGGTCCTAAAGATCATCAGCTGATCGTCCATCAGGACCTCTGTGGTCTACAGACTCTCCTTCATTAACACCCAGCAGAGACTGCAGGCCTGGATCAAAGGAAACCAGGGTCCTCCTCCAGGTGTGTCAGAGAGAAGAACCTGGTCTTCGTCGGCCCGCTGACTCTGACCTTCAACAGGTTCAGCCTGGTCCAACCTCATCACAGGCTCCAGAGACCTCAGTATCTGTCTACAAGAAGACCATGAAGACCATCAGGGTCAGTGAGTCATCAGAGGGGAACTCTCAGGACCTGCTCGGATCCACCTGAGACCATCAGCTCCTCAAACACTCAGAGACGTCTGAGGAGCAAAGACCGGGGAACCAGAGAGGAACCTGCTGAGGAGCAGAGATGAGCTGAGACCCCGTTCAAGGTGGTCCACTGAGCCCAGGATCTCAACTTCAGGACCAGTCCATGAACCCCCGTAAACTGATCCTGGGACCTGGTCTTTCCTACACTGGACCAGGTCCTCTCACCCTGGACACCTGTCCTGGTTTCCTCTGGTTCAGCAGGTCCGATCAGAGTCCAGACTGACGTGGTCTTCAGTTCTCAGGTCTCTTATCAGCAGGTTATAAAGTCTGACCCAGTTCTTTTTATGAGACCAAAATAAAAGAGTCCAGCTGTCCTACTTTCAGTCCTCAGACCGAGTCCTCAGACCGAGTCCTCAGACCGAGTCCTCAGACCAGACCCTTCATTAAAACGATTTGTTCATTAAAACGATTCGTTCATTAAAACGATTCGTTCATTAAAACGATTCGTTCAAAAGATTCGTTCACTGAATCAGTCCGTGTTTCGGAGCCCCGCCCTGTCGCTGCAGTACACCAGTGAGTGACACAGCGGCGAGTTCGTTCATTAGCCCCTCCCCTCCCCTGCTGCGTCGTTCTCTGGGTGACTCGTGTCGTTCATTCGCCAAGTCCTGAAGGAAGAGTCACTCCCCCGCCCTGAAAAACTCACCTCTCTGTGTGTCGCCGTCTGTCGGCGGAAACAACACAGCAGTGAGCAGCACGCCGCTAAACGAGCGCGAGTCGTCGCTCTTTTATATGTCGGAAAAGTGGCGAGATTAAAAATAAATAAAGATGTCAGCTGTAGCGAGGATTCAGAGACTTTTAAAGATTTAAAATATCGTATTTCTTTAAATCAGGAAAGTTTAAACACGTGTTTTACTGTAAAGGCGCCATAATGACCTGTTTTAACCAACCGCTGCTCAGCAGGAAGTTAACCACGCCACGAATAAAGTCATTCAGAGGTTATTTTGTCCACCATGTCGTTCATTCGCTGTGAGTGAATCACGAGACTCCGCCCACTCGCTCACTAGCTGCCTGTGTGTCGTTCGCCAAAGTCAGAGGCGGCGGTTCCCCTCCTGACCGTCACGCCAGGCTGACGGCTGAACTCGACTGACCGGAGAAAAGAACCAATCAGGACTCAGAGTGACTCAGTTCACGTCGTTCTCTCAGCGGCTCTTTTGAACGGATCGTTCGTGAACGACACAAACACCAGTGAGTCAAAGTCTGGACCCGGGACCACCTTTAGACCCCTTAGAACCCGGGTCCGCTCTCACCTCTGATAGGGACGCAGGAGGGGATGGGGGGCACCCAGGACCCGTGGCGGCACTTGGACACGCGGACCCTGTTGCTGATGTGGAACCCGGGTTCACAGAAGAAGTGGATGGAGGTCTTCTGGTGGAACCCTCGACACGGAGACGGGTCACAGCGAAAACCTCCATGTTCAGGGACCAGGGGGTGGGTGCAGTTATTGGACCGGCCTGAGGGGACAGAGAGGACAGAGAGGACAGGGACAGAGAGGACAGAGAGGACAGAGACAGAGAGGACAGAGACAGAGAGGACAGGGACAGAGAGGACAGAGAGGACAGAGAGGACAGAGGACAGAGAGGACAGAGGGGACAGAGAGGACAGAGAGGACAGAGGACAGAGAGGACAGAGACAGAGAGGACAGAGAGGACAGAGAGGACAGGGACAGACAGAGACAGAGAGGACAGAGGACAGAGAGGACAGGGACAGAGAGGACAGAGACAGAGAGGACAGAGAGGACAGAGAGGACAGGGACAGAGAGGACAGAGAGAGAGGACAGAGGACAGAGAGGACAGAGACAGAGAGGACAGAGAGGACAGAGAGGACAGGGACAGAGAGGACAGAGAGGACAGGGACAGAGAGGACAGAGACAGAGGACAGAGAGGACAGAGAGGACAGAGACAGAGAGGACAGAGAGGACAGAGGGGACAGAGGACAGGGACAGAGAGGACAGATAGGACAGAGACAGGGAGGACAGAGGACAGAGAGGACAGGGACAGAGAGGACAGAGGACAGGGACAGAGAGGACAGAGAGGACAGAGGACGGGGACAGAGAGGACAGGGACAGAGAGGACAGGGACAGAGAGGACAGAGGACGGGGACAGGGACAGAGAGGACAGAGGACAGAGAGGACAGAGAGGACAGAGAGGACAGAGACAGAGAGGACAGGGACAGAGAGGACAGAGAGGACAGAGGACGGAGACAGAGAGGACAGAGAGGACAGAGACAGAGAGGACAGAGAGGACAGAGACAGAGAGGACAGAGAGGACAGGGACAGAGAGGACAGAGGTCTTTGAATCTCAACCATATAAAGACCGTCCCCCCCCAGAGGAGGAGGAGTTTCACGTCATTAAAGCGCACTCAGGGTCAGAGGTCATACCTGCTGTGAGGAGCGGGGCGGCGGCCAGGAGGAGTCCACAGAGCAGACTGATGGGTCCACATGGAGACAGGACCGACGCAGACATCAAACCGGACTTCCTGGAGGACGAGAAACAACAGAGACGTCAGGAGACCAGGAGAGAGACAACGAGTCCAGAACCAGGACCTCTCAGGGTCTCGGTCTGTGGACTCACCATCCGGATCTAAAGAGGTACACCTGAGGTCACCTGAGGTCACCTGAGGTCACCTGAGGTCACCTGAGGTCACCTGAGGTCACCTGGAAGACATCAGCCAATCAGCTGTCAGTCCTGCACCGGATTGTTTCTGTTTCGATTTTGAAGTTAAAAAGAACCAGAACCAAAAAGAGGAGCTCAGTTCTGGAGTCCTGTCTAACCCAGACCGACTCTGACCCAGGTCCAGGTTCTCAGGACAGTAAACCAGAATCTCACAGAATCCTGAGCCTGAAGGTCTCCTCACATTTGGACCTCCTGTTAGATTCAGAACCTCACAATCCTCTGATACCAGAAGGCTGATCTGTTCTGGTAGTTCTGACCCCTCTGACCCGTTCACCTGTCCTGACCTCGACCTTTCAGCTGATCCAGAATGAAACTGTTCCCGCCCACGGCTCAGTTTCACCTTCGACCATCCAGACCCAACAGAACCAGCACCAGAACCGCAGCAGCACCACAACAAAGCCCACGCCGTCTACAGATGACTCACACCGCCCCATCAGAGACACGCACTTCCTGTTAGAAACCAGCGCCACCAGAGCCCACCTCTGCCACACACTCCAGAGAGAGAGAGAGAGAGTGTGTGTGTGTGTGTGTGTGTGTGTGTGTGTGTGTGTGTGTGTGTGTGTGTGTGTGTGTGTGAGAGGGTGAGCAGAGTGTAGAGATATCAGTCATCTGTGGAGCAGCGAGGGACGGGCCTCAGTGTACCAGGACACACACACACACACACACACACACACACACACACACACACACACACACACACACACACACACACACACAGCTCTGTCTTGTGTGTCACAGTCGTGTAGGAGGAGGTCCTGGAGGTCCTGGAGGTCCTGAAGGTCCTGAAGGTCCTGGTGTCTCTCACTCTGACATTAAAGCTCCTGTGCTGATGAGGATCTTCTCAGTTGGACCTTCTTGTCTGGAGGAGATCTTCATCCAAAGCAGCAGGTTCGACTCTCAGGTCACAGAAACCCGAGACCATGAGGGATTCTGGTTCAACAACAAACAGCAGAAACCAGCAGATCCAGTTTTTCCTGAGCTCTGATGGTCTCAGGTGTCCACAGAAGGTCCGTTCTCCTCCAGTGAAAGCTGCTCAGGTCATGTGACGTGATGCTCCTCATGACCTTGTTAGTCTGATGGACACTCTGTGGACGCCCGTACACCGTATCTAGAATAGACGCCGTCTGGCTCTGTGAGAGAACAGCGCCCTCTGGTGACGGGCTGCAGTATAGGTCCTAAACCCCGCCTCCTTATGGAGCTGTGGACAAACTTTATAAATGAATGACTCAGAATATAAATGTTTCTCCCCCCTGGTTGTGATGTTGACATGTAGTTACTGTCAGACTGGTTTGTGCTCAAGTCCTCTTTTTTCTGTACAGCTCCATTTTTAAAAGTTATTAGGGGGTTCATGTTTTCTATGATTGACACCTGATACAGCCAATGGGAGGACAGAGATTGAGTAGATCACCGGGGGATACGCTGTTTGAGCCGAGCGTCATCACAGCGACTCTCGCCGACTCTCCCGCTGAATGTGTACAACGTTACTGCGCAATGTTGGTTTCAGGAAGTGGAGAAAAATCAGAAATACTGAGAACTTTTCAGCTTCAAATCCGTAAACTGGAGGAAAGAGGAACAGTAAAATTAATTCAGGGTCAAACCCACCATAACACCGAGTTAGACCCCGCCCCCTCCAGAGATGAATGTTGTCGACCGCTTGCTTCTCTAGTTATACCAACTTTAGTAACGACCACAGGATAGAAATACAGAGAGACACGCCCCCAACCAAAACGCCACTCTATAGCCACAAATAATGCTCAGAACAGCACCTAACTTCATCAACAGGACATATAGGGTCACAGACATAGTACTAGACACCAAACATCTTTTTAACTTTGACTCATTTCTTTAGCAAAGAGACTAAACACAACTCACCTACTCTCTTCCAGCAGACCCATTACAGACTACAGCGGGGTGCCGCAGCTCAAGGAAGAACATTTATGATCATTTCTTCATCATTTCCTTGAAGTAATAATCACCATATTGATCATTTTACAGACGCTGTAGTTCTTCTGTCTTAGCGTCTCGGTCTGATTGTATTTCCATGAAGAAATGAAGACCTCCTTAGACCTCCTCAGACCGGGTCAGTCTGGATCCTCAGAGTCCACACAGACCGCTGGTTTTCATGTCAATAACAGATCAATAAAGTTTTATTGATTCTA